AGAGAGGGAAGGCGGAGGCCCAGATAGGAGTGGAGCTGTATGAAGCACTAGTGAAAGCACTTGAATCATAGTGACAGGACTACAGTAGTCATTAATAGCAGTTATTAATAGTTATTAATAGAGGTTATTAATAGTTATTTATTTTTGGTCTTAAAGGTTCCTGATTTCTGTGAGTAGGTTCTTTTGTTCACTTTTGATCGGATCAGTTTGGGTTTCTTGATTTCAGGACCTTCACAAGGTTCTATCATAACAGTAATCAAATAAAAATCAATTAATGAATAACACCAATTACCAGGAGTGGGTAGGACTGATGAGAATGTTGTAGAATGATAGTCAAAACCTTTAAAATCAGAGTCCTGGAGTATGTCATCGGACATCTTGGGTTTCTTAAACCTGACCCCACCCGTCCCTTCATCAGGGGATTGATCAATAGTGGGAGGAGACTGGTAACGAGTTACTCTTGTGGGTGTGGCCTCACTCCTCCTACTCCTAATAATTATAATAATAAAATTTATTATTAATTTATTTAAATTTACTTAAACACAACGGGACTGATGACAGCTGCTTCAGTTGACGGAGGGAGGAACTGGTTATTAATGTATGGAGACTATCAGCTGGTGACTCATGGACTAACTTGTGAGAGTGTGTCTTTATAATCCTCCCTCATTTTTAAATGACTCTTACTTACCACATCAGGATAACCTCTTCTTGACACCTGATAATAATAATAACAATGACGATGATGATAAATACATTATACTAACTGACTGACTGTTAAATTAAGAGTAGGAGCTGGTTTTACATTTACTGTTTGACCTCTTCTCATCGAAATATCATCATCATCATCATCATCTTGCTCCTGTTTTTCAGATACACTTGTTTCCATAGCAACCTCGTCAGTAATGGTAGCCCCATCAGTCTCCATTAGCTGATCCTGTAATGAAGTATCTCTTCAACTCAACCGGTTAAACCTGTCTGACCTGTTTAGCAATGTTCCTGGCAGTTGTAATAATGTCATGTACTTCTTGAAGTTGCTGTCTTATTAAAGTTGGGACAGGATTACAGCAGGCCAGTATACCACCTGGTTCTTTGGGCAGTATCTCACACAACTGGAACAGCATGTGGTTGGGTAGTACATATCCAGGGCTCTCATCCTCCCTCCTGGCAACATTGAACCGCCACTGGTACAAACACTTCAATGCATACAACTATTGATAATAGTAGTCAATTGTTAGTCAACTGTTTGATTGGAATCAGCTCAAACTTTCTACACAACATAAGAACATGTACATGTATGAGGAAATGTAATAAAAATTTTGAATTTTCTACTTTTCATTTTCAGCCAAATTTGACTTGTTCTGACTATGAGCAATAACAGTACAGGGACTTTGGCCCAATTTTATTATTATTATTATTATTATTATTATTATTATTATTATTATTATTATTATTATTATTATTATTATTATTATTACTTGTTTGTGTGATAGATTCCTTTTATTAAACTTCTTGCAGAGCTTCAGGTAAGACTCATCATTAATGGCTGGTTTCTTATACACCTTTAGGCTGATCTCTTTACTGTTCTTCAGCACAGCATTAATTAAATTAGACTGACTGTTGCTCCTCCTAATCAACTCATTCCTCAGTCTATCGTACACGTACAGTAAATAGTGAGTGTCTTCTCTTGCATATTTTATCATGTCCTCAGGTAGTGGCCTATTCAAACAGTATAAGCCACACCTATCAGGCCATACCCACCTTATCCTCCAGTCCGCCAGTTGGTACTGTTTATTGGCAGTGACTCCACAGCAGTAGCTCAGCAAGAAAGCCAATGAATACCGGGGCAGGCCTAGGGTCCGGCAGGCCTGTCCTGTATCAAATAAGTTGACAATGTAAACTCCGAAGTCTCTCTGCAACCATGGGATATCCCAATCTGCCCCGTGCATCACCTAAAGTGAGTGCAGTCAGTGTTAATTAGTGGGTGTGGTTACTTTTATTATGTTAGGATTGGTGAATACTTCATTGAGTAAGTGGAGGTGAGGTCTTAGTGACAGTGTGTCAATGATGTAGTCGGTGGTTCTGGTTGATACTTGCATTAGGCAGACGAACCCCTGGAATGACCTGTAGGAGTGGGCCTAGGGACCAGTGGGGGAGGAGGAGTTAAAAATACATTTCACTAATTAATTACCTCAAGATCAATAGCAATTTCAGTGACACCTTTTAACTCGTTAATGAACGATAATAATTGACCTTCATCGTTCACAAATATTAACGGAGTGTCTTCCAATGATTTATACACCTAATAATATTAATAACTATTGATAACTATTAATATCCCGTTACCTGAGGCTCTTTAATTTGTGTTTGAGATTCCAACACTTCAAAATTATTAATCTCATATTCATAAGGATGAGTCAGCCTGATACAATAATATTAACAATGCAATTATTAATTAATTAATTGATACCTTTCGGGTAACTCCGCCCACTTCCTAGCATTTTCAATTAATGCATTGAGAGTACAAGGAACCTTCAATTGACTGTATACTATTAATTAATTAATTAATTATTTATTTATTTATTAATTCCAATTCATTTATTAAATTTATTGTTGTTACCAGTAGGGAGTGGTTTCATTGCATTTGGTTTTTCCCTCAGTTTTGGTACGAAAGGTCCCTCGCTATTATCAATCATATCCTTAAACTGACTCTGTGGGCGTGGTACATTACTCCGCCACATCTTCACAACTTTACCCTCACCCTCCCCCTCCTAGTGACGGGAAACCACACCCTCAACCACACCTAACAGCGTTACCTTTTTATTCCAGGTTGCTACGGTTACTTCAGTTTCTGTGGCTTCGGGAGCTAACGGTTCATCTTTATCATTAGAAGTAGCTTTATCAAGAAAACCACTCTACAGTATTATAATAATTAATAATAATAATAATAATAATAATAATAATAAATCATTAGTAATACTTACAATTCTCTCTATTAGCAGGTCGTTCCCTTCAATTAGGTTTTCAAATTGTTCTTCAATTGATTCTAAACTCGTCTTGTTATTTCGATCAAATTCCATCCACGAGACAGGGACCTCTTCATACTTCAATATCCGTCCAATCCTAATTAATGTAATATTACTATTATTATTATTATCATTTTACTGACAGCTTGTTGATTCTTCCACCCACATGATTACAGAAGGTTCTAAATCCAACATAATTATAATAATACTCATAGTCCTCTCCTTCAGGAGGGAGCCCTCCGCTCCTCCTAATGGTCTCCATAGACCCAGCTAATAACTCCTAGTGGACAGGGTCTGTTGGTAACACTATCATTATATTGAATTCATTCACTTGAGAGAATGTCTCCAGATCCTCCATTTTACCAGCCCACGTGAGAGCACACTTTAGGTGTTGTTTATAGTAGGCGTGGTTTGAGGCGTGGCTTGTATGATGTTTATTGTTTAAAGATGGCGTCAGATCCAGAGCTAGTTGAAAGTCATATTCCCTCTGGTGAAAATTGTTTAGACAAGTCTGTAAACCTCGGAACTAAGGGACTGATGTGGGGTGAGTCCTTGTAAGTCCTGATATTAGTCATTATACCGTGCCCAGGAGCATTTTATGGAGCTGTAGAGGCCTGTGTCTCAGTGGAGTCAAGGCTCATAACTAAAAGTGGCCCTTTACTAATGTACACACTGAGGACCATTAGATCAAGAGGACTCATAGGAGGTGAGAGGGTTATTAGTGGGTGTGGTTACCTTATTAATAAATGCTAGGGAGTGTGTTGTTCACGTATGCTGGAGTCTGTTGTCTGTCCTCCAGACTAAGAACCAAAGATGACTACTTCAATGCATTTGTAGGAGGAGCTATGGCTGCCTCCATAGTTGGAATATACGGTAATTGTTATTGTTTCCTAGTGGGTGTGGTTAGTGGGTGTGGTTGTTAGTGGGTGTAGCTGTTATTTAGTGAAAGATACAAAGTGCTAGTCTAAACAATCATTAATTAAATGTTCATACTCAATCGTTATTTATTATTAGACTTGCAATATTTACTGTAAATACAAAACATCATTAATTAATTTATTAAGTAACAGCAGTTACTGACAGCTGCTCCTCATGACCAAAAGATGAAGTGTTGTTCTCAGTCTCAGCCAGTCACTGGCCTGAGACTAGCCTTTGATTATCTAATGTACATTCCATTGACATCTGTCCCCATCCATCAGTTCCTGTTTGTGTTGTTGCCAGTCACATACACACACACACGCTCTCCTTCCTAATATAGTCACACACTATTATACTATACAACTGTTTGTTAGTCCATGGGGGAGCCGTCACTCTGGCAACATTATTTGTACTCTTTATTATTTTAAGTATGTTTGGTTCAAATATTTGTCATTTTTCTCTTCTACAGCTAGATCAATTCCTCTAACTCTTGGCCTTTCATTCGCAAGTGGCGTTACCATGGCAATCATTAAGTATCGCCATGGTACCTACCTTCCCCCTATCCCGTTACGAGGGGCCACTATAAGACAGCAGGAGAGGGCGTGGCCGACTAACGAGTCAAGATAAGGACATTATACTCTATAACTGACATAGTTTAGTAGATTATGTTGTAATAATAATTTAATAATATTGCTCCGTTAGTCACAAAGTATAGTTCAAACCACATCCATCCACACACACACACACTGTTGGGTGGGAGTAGAGAAGCCTTTAATGTGCTTATAATTTATAAAAGGAAGAGGCAAACAGAAGATCAGTCAGTCATAATATTCTATTTACCTTATGGAGTCTCTCATCATACTCTCCTTCCTTCTCTCTTTAGCACTACTGGTCCATTCTGCTCCTGCCCCTAGACCAGCTGGTGACTCTCTCACTGGTGAGTAGCTGACAGTCTCTCAATGAACATTGTCCTCACTCTCTTTCCTCCATTAGTCTTTCCTCATGTCATCAGCTCTTCTCCCAGTAACAAGTTGATATCACTCAACCACACTTCACTCATTATTAATATCACTATTAACAACTTCCATCACTCACTTACCACTGACTGTTCTTTCTACAGTGGATCAGTTCTTAATCATGATAATGGTTGGACAACCCTCTCTATCTGCAAGAACAATGAACTGGTAAATTAGTACCCAAGAATGCAGGGCAATAATCGCCTCTTTTTCCCTATAGTCTGGCATTATAAAGTTAGAAGAAGGTATGTTCACACTCCAGCCAATGGATGGAGATACTAATGCTCATGCACTTGATAAGATGTCAAATGATTTACCACATGATCACTGCAGCAGTCCAGCACCTACTGATCAAGGTATGGTCTTATTTTAAGTATCTATTATTGTATACACATGTTGCAGTAGTGTCTGGTGAAAGATTGAAAAGACATCAGAGTAAAGTATTAGAAAAGACCATTGAGCTAGCACTAGTAATTGACAGGTCATTGTACAGTATTCATCAAGAAAACCTAACAGACTATATACTCCACATCATGAATACAGTGAGTCAATTAGTCCATCAATTATCAGCTGTCATTATTGTATAGGTAACACATCTATATAAGGATCCAAGCATTGGCAGTGCTAGTATTGTTAATATTGCATTAGTCAAACTGATTGTATGGAATGATACTACAGTATGTTGTATTACACACATCATGCAGTGACAGTATTCATGTGTGCGTGTGTGTGTGTGTGTGTGTGTGTGTGTGTGTGTGTGTGTGTGTGTGTGGCTTTACATTACTTAAGAGTGTAAGGTGTATATTAATATTGACATTTTAAACAGTATCATCAGTCGTATCAATCATCCCACCTTTAGACTGATACCATTACGTCAAATGCTAATCCTATTGCTACCAAAGACCAGTTCTGTCAATGGCAGTCCAAAGAAAGAACAGGCTCACATCATGACATTGCAGTGTTACTGACCGGAGGCTCAATCTGTGAAACAACCTCATGCAACATACTAGGTAAACATAAACTAATCATAATATTAACAGTTGCTCTATATGTTGATTGTTGATAGGTATTGCCAATTATAGAAGTGCTTGTAATCATGATACCAGCTGTGCTGTAGTGAGGGACACTGGACTATCAACAGCATTCACACTAGCTCATGAACTAGGGCACAAGTACATAACATTTGCTATTGACCAATAATTAATTATTTCATTATTTAGCCTGGGTATGTATCATGATGGAGATGCTATGTCCAACTGTGAAACTAATGACAAGTTTATAATGAGCTCTAGTTTCAAGGCTAGTACTAATCCTCACATTTGGTCTAAATGCAGTGAACTGCAGTTGTATGACTTCTTAAGGTATAAATCATTATGACTCATCACCACTCATCCGTCTGTCTGTCTGTCTGTCTGTCTGTCTGTCTGTCTGTCTTCAATAGTTCATCTGAAAGCAGTTGCCTTGACAATGATCCTGATGCCACAGTAGCCCCTCCCCCATCAGCAGCTCCTCTGATTGGTCAGTTTTATTCGTTAAACGAACAATGCAAACTATTGTATGGAGCCAACTCAACAACCTGCCATAAAACAGTAATAACAATAATGATAATAATGATAATAATGATAATGATTATTAATGATAATACTATAGGATTGTTCAGTCCTGTGGTGCAGTACTGATGGAGTATCTTGCGATCAAACTCAGCACTCTCCTCCTGCCGGGGGTAGTCCCTGTCTATTCACTAATACCACTCAAGGGGTCTGTTACCATGGTAACTGTAGATTACAGGGCGAGGTTAGTACCCCTATTGATGGAGGGTGGAGCCAATGGAGCAACTGGGGGACCTGCTCCAGCACCTGTGGAGATGGGATACAATCAAGAACAAGATACTGCAATAAACCACTGTAAAGAACACACTAATAATGATAATAATGATAATAATAATGGTGTTTATTAGGCCACAGTATGGTGGTAAACGTTGTGTTGGTGAGAGATTGGAATATAAACTGTGTAGGAATGAGGAGTGCCTCATAGACTATCGTAACTACAGGTGCAGTCAGCTGAAACCAGCTGATGGGGCGGCTGGGACCAGCCACAAGGAATGGATTGCTGCTGACCCAAGTATGAGTGATATTGTTATTATTATTTTTATCATCATTATTATTTTTATTATTATCTTGGTTTTAGGTTCAGTAGCTAAGTATCTCCTCAATTCTTGCCACCTTTATTGTAAGTACAAAGACGACCAGTCCTGGTACCTCATGGAAAAGAATATTCCTGAGGGAACATCCTGTATTGCACAATCACTAGCAGCTGGAGTGTGCATTCAAAGAAAATGTATACAAGTATGTTGTTAATTTATCGTTATTATTATTATTATTATTATTATTATTATTATTATTATTATTATTATTATTATTATTATTATTATTATCATAGATTGGTTGTGATGGTAAGCTAGGTAGTGATTATTACACTGATCGGTGTGGAGTAACATGCGGAGACAACAGCACCTGTAACTACATTACAATGAAATACACTCCCACACCTGGGCTCACTAACAGTAAGTGATTATCACCTACCTCGCCCTCTCTCCCCCTCTTTCCGCCCTCCCTCCCCCCTCTCCCCCCCTCTCCTACACTATTTGATACTGTTTTATCTCTTCAAAGGATATCATGATGTTCTAACATTACCAGCTGGAGCCAGTAATATTGAAATAGATACGGACAAGCAGTCCTATAACGTGATAGGTGAGCACTGGTTATTGGATTATCATGATAATGATATCCTTTGCAGCTGCTTATACTACAAAATTTGAATTAAACGGACCCGATACAAGATCATATCAATATGGAGTGGCATACATAGCAGGAACATACTGGATGTACTCTCACTATTACCTTCACACCAATGGACCCATCAACCAGACACTCACTATAAAGGTATGATACCATTATCGTCCTAATCATTAATGTGTCATACCATTAACAGCTGTTTGCTGCAGACACTAGTCTACTAACAGTTCAGTATACTCTACCAAACTACTGGAGGACTGGACCATGGTCGTCCTGTAGCCCAGTCTGTGGTAATGGGACACGGACTAGGAATGTAACCTGTGGCCATGATGATAGCAATAAATGCAATGTTGATAATAAACCAGTAGCTACACTACCGTGTGACCAGGAGTCATGTGACTCGTATCATTGGAGAGCTGGAGACTGGACACAGGTAAGTATTGCAATATTAATATTTAATTTAATTTTATTTAATTAGTGTAGTGCCACCTGTGGGGGCGGTACACAGACTAGGAATGTGCAGTGTCAGCACATTAATGGATCAAACCGTACGAGTGAATATTGTACTGGGAAAGACAAACCAGTTGATATAAGGATGTGCTCAACACAAAATTGTAAGCATCGATCTTCATTTACTGATACATTATTCATTAATAATTATTATAATCCACAGGTTGTCAGAATCACTTCTCTTCAGCTGTATGTGAAGCTATACTGGAGTATGGACTGTGTAGCAATTATAAGGATCAGTGCTGCAGCACTTGCAAATAAAAAACTATTATAATTATTGATATTTTATTACTATTGTTATTTAAGGTATATTGATTTTTAATTTTCATTATCAAAAATAAGTCATCAAGCTACAATTATCAAAAGTGTTAATGTAACAAGAGATTGTTTCACTATTCATCACTGGCTGACAATATCTTGTATCCAGTGACAGTAGATGATGAGAGAAAGGTTACAATGAATATGTAACAATTCCACAGACCGTAATTACCAACAGTAATAGCACCTGGTCATATGAAAATGGATTACATTAACAACATGTATAGAATATACTGGTACTAGGAGCAAGAGTAGATGATAGATATACTAGGAGTAATGTACTATACTATAGTACAGGAACTTTGGTCAAATTTCACCAAAATTGAAAAGGAAGAAATTTCTCAATTTTATTACATTTCTTGATACATATATATGTACTTAAGTTGCATAGAAAGTTTGAGCTAATTCCAACCAATTTTCAATTTTTTATGAATTTTTAAAGTTGCTCAAAATCACAAAAAAGTCCCTGTTATAGTACAGGGATTTTTTAAAAATTTCACAAAAAGTGACAAGTAGTAAATTCCTCAATTTTATTACATTTTCTGATGCATATATATGTACTTAAGTTGCATAGAAAGTTTGAGCTAATTCCAACCAATTTTCAATTTTTTATGAATTTTTAAAGTTGCTCAAAATCACAAAAAAGTCCCTGTTATAGTACAGGGATTTTTTAAAAATTTCACAAAAAGTGACAAGTAGTAAATTTCTCAATTTTATTACATTTCTTGATACATATATATGTACTTAAGTTGCATAGAAAGTTTGAGCTAATTCCAACCAATTTTCAATTTTTTATGAATTTTTAAAGTTGCTCAAAATCACAAAAAAGTCCCTGTTATAGTACAGGGATTTTTTAAAAATTTCACAAAAAGTGACAAGTAGTAAATTCCTCAATTTTATTACATTTTCTGATGCATATACATGTACTTATGCTGTGTAGAGAGATTGAGCTGATTCCGATCAATTTTGAATTTTCTATGATTTTTTAAAGTTACTCCAAAATCGGACAAAAGTCCCTGTACTATAGTACAGGGATTTTTGTCAAATTTTACCAAAATTGAAGGGGAAGAAATTTCTCAATTTTATTACATTTCTTGATACATATATATGTATTTAAGTTGCATAAAAAGTTTGAGCTGATTCCAATCAAATTTGGATTTTTTATGATTTCTTAAAGTTGCTGTACTATAGCACATGTCTCACCATATAAGGAAAGATCAGTGTTTCCATGGAAACCATGAAGGAGGAACACTTCAACTGGCAGTATATATCCACAGAGACCAGCAACAGCAGTGAATATTGTAATTAACAAATGCTCATTTAGACCCTGCAGCAGTTTACCCTGTACAGGAACAATGAAGCAGGTGAAATGTACACTATAATGCGTTACCTTGTTTGAATTGGCCACTCCTTCCAATTTATTATGAATCTTTCTTCTAATTTTAACAAAATTAATAACCAGCGAAATAATATACAAAATACAAGATATACTGGCCACACCTACAGATACATACTAGTTATAAATAGTTATTAAGGATCATAATCACCATCATTATTATTATTATTATTATTATCGGATACAATGAGGCCACGCCCATAACTGCTACCCCACAGACTGTAAAAAGGAAGGAACACTTGAATGCCCCTACAATACATAAACATATGTTACCATAGCAACATCAAGTAGACCCACCTCTCACAGAGTTCATAGACTAAGAGACCAAGAGCAGTCAAGGAAGCAAAGACTAGGGAATGTATTACCGACTGAATACCACTCTCCTATTAATAATAATAATAATAATAATAATAATAATAATAATAATAATAATAATAATGATGATGATGATAATAATAATAACCATTGCTGTGTTGGTTACCTGTACATCATGGTTGTTGATAACTAGTGTCCAGAATATCATAATGACTAGAGTCAGTAGTCCTTGTCTTAGATCATTCAGTAAAGTGATCCATGGAACATCAATCAACAATGAGAACCACTCAACTGGCACTGAGTGTGATCATAATAACTGTATCATTATTAATTAATAATAACTCACTATTAAAAAACAACAGACTGACATTAAGGACCAGCAGGGACCTAAGGAACATTAAGATACGGTAAACATGTACATGTGTATCCACTACACTGACTTGTGGTAGAGGGAGAGTTTCCTTTTATTGTAAGAATAGGCAAATGAGAGGAAGGAAAGAGAAAAGAACACTGTCTTTAAAATAAACCAGACATAAGTGAACTGAGGATTCTGATGAATCTCCTAAAAGAGAGAGAGAGAGAAAGAGAGGGAGGGAGAGAGAAGGGTAATATTTAATATTTACACAAACACAGTAATTAGTTCTAATTAAATAAGAACACTTGGTTAACAATAAATGATGTAATATTGTCACTAGTCAATTAAGGATAGTCTCACCATTAATGACATCTCCTTAATGACCGAATTATCAGTTGGATAGTCACTAACAATAGGTAACCATAGAAACCGCATATTAATGATGTAGTGTTTATGGTAGACACTCCAGAGCTCAAAAAGTGGAAAATGATCGCAAATCAACACACCCTGGGGATAATAATAATAATAATAATAAATAATAATATATAATAATAATAATAATAATAATAATAATAATAATAATAATAATAATGATGATGATGATGATAATAATAATAATAATATTATAATAATAATAATAATAATAATAATAATAATATTAATAATAATAATAATAATGATGATGATGATGATGATAATATTAACACACTACCAGTACATGTTACATAGTCTTATGTACATGTAGGGGTAAAGGGACATCAGGATTCAGGACACAGGTCAAAGAATTACATTTTTAGTCTCTTAAAATTAATAAATCAAATGAAGTTACATGTACACTTAGTGTGTGTGTGTGTGTGTGTGTGTGTGTGTGCATTCAAGTGGTTCAGTTGGTGACAGATGCTGCCAGTACATTATATAATGACAGCTGGTCCCTCATCTTCTCATGGGAACACACCAGGAGGAAAGAATAATTACAACATGAACTATAGGATACTAAGAGAGAGAGAGAGGGAGAGGAGCAGCTGGTAAAGGGCCAGCTAATATACCAATAGGAAGAAAAGTATCCAGTTACATTAGGATAAATATAGTGTGGCTAATAGGTGTGATGGCAGCTGGTGGACACTCCCTAATGAACATAAACCATAATGACCACACTACACATACCAGTCCTAATGCAGTCAGGGACACTGCAGCAGATAATTAGCTCAAGACGTGTGACATGATTAAATAACACAATAACATACCCAATCATTGGGGACACACTCCAGTATCCTACTGCTGTTACCGGAACTGAGCAACTGCCAATCGGATTCACTGTCGTCACGGTAACCAATAGCAACCTCATACACAATAAGGCTGGGACCTGCCTCTGTAATTAAGTGGGTGTGGTTTAGTATAGAGTGGACGTGGCTTACCTTTCATCTTTTTGATGTAATCTGGTTTGAGTACAACGTTGAGATCAGCTAGTAGATACTGATACCAACGGGACATGATCCTGTGGGTTCTCTTAACAGGCACCGTCAGGTAGTAGAGGTGCCTCCCTCTGTCACTGGGGACAGTGTCCCTGTAGTTCTCCGACAGGAGCTGGCCGCCATTAGCCTCACAGCTATCAGTGCTAATGAAGGGATACCCCAGTGACCCGAGGGCTATGTCACAGTCTTTTAAACCAAACTCCTCACTGACAGTAATAGAGGGACCTGTAGTGATATTAATTAATAAAATAAATAATAAATAAATAATAAAGCAGTTATGATGTCTTCTCATTAGATTGTGACTACATTTTGTGGTATAAAACCTTTCCTATGACACCAACGGTAAGTAATTAATAATTGAAATATTTCCCAAATAATAAATTAAAGAACAGGAAGTGGATCCATTATACAATGATCACTTAGTAAACAGAATTCATACAAACTGATACACAAGAGGACCTCACCAATAGCTCCCAGTGTATACAGCCCAACAGTCACTGCTGATAGTATCAGTATTATAACAATAACACGACACATTATCCTCCACCACTCTAGAGATATCACCTTTCCTTATCAACACACTTCCAGGGCTGCTGTCATCAACTGTCACTAGTGGGAGGAGCTTACGCAAACATGTGACAGCACGTGGTTACTTTTTGATTGTGTTGGTTTGTCTTAATGTGGCTCTACTAATAGAGCCCAGGGCTCAGTTCTCAGTTATAATTAAATAGGATATTACAAAGATGAATGATTATAATCTAAGTAGTTAGACAGTAGCTGATTTACAATAACTCAGTAAAGTGTGACAATAATTCATTTTATTAGAAAGAAGCTTCCATCCTTTCTCCTGTCTCTCAGTTAGACCATACAGCAATGGAAGGACAGAATCAATCTTTATTAGTGCAGCTGTGTGATACTAATAATTAAAATAAATAAACAAAATGATTATTATCAATAGTGTCGTACCTTTAAAAGGAGGCAGAGGTAAGACTGGAGTAATTCATAATGATCATTACCCAGTAATCCTTCACTAATGAACTGGAGTACTGATTCAAACAATACCACATTATCATGACTAGGGGTAGCCCCTCCCCCACTGGCATTACCCACACTAGAGGCTAACAGCTGGAACTCAGCATCCACTGATGAAGGACTCATTGATAGCAAGACATGAAGGACCTCGCTAACTATTAATGATTATCAATAGTTAATTAATAATTATTAATAATAACTTACAGTCTCTTGTGTTTGAGTGATAGTCAATTAATAATTTCTGAAACGAACTTTTATTGAATCTACTCAACGGGACAAGAGAATCCTAAATGAATAAATTAATGAATAAATAAATGAATAAATAAATGAATAATGTGCTACCTTGTTTTCATCTATTGTTGGTATGGGTTCTGGTGCAGGTATGAATTTCATCTCCAGACCCGGTAGTGTTGGTAAAAAGAAGGGGGCCGGGTTGAGAGGCTGCACAGGGTCCTTTGGTTTATTCCGCTCCTAAAACCAACAAACGACAAATGCTGAGAATAAATGTACTGAACTCTCTACCTTAATGGTGTCCATATACTGGAGACAGTGCCACTGGGACTTTGGTAAATGAGACAATTTGATTAATGAACTATCATGAACAACATCTCCCTCATTAATATTCATTGCTTCCTCATTAATATTCATTGAATCTGATACAGTCTGTACAGGATCAGTCCCAGTTGATGGTAGGTCCGTTATTAATTGATTATTACTAATAATATTCACTGGAGACAATGATACACTAGAATATAATGTAACATTCGACCTAATGAAGAGACAGAGAGAGAACTGAAATAGACTATGCCTTTTCAGAATAATGGCATTTTCTTAAAATGGCTATAACTTGAAAAACTGAAGTCGGAATCAGCTCAAACTTTCTACACAGCATAAGGACATCAATATGTATCAGAAAATGTAATAAAAATTGGGAGTGATTTTTTGGCCATTTTTTGGAAAAAACCATGGACTATAGCCTTGGGTATTTTTCAGATTTTTGGCGTTTTCTTAAAATGGCTGTAACTTGAAAAATTGAAGTCGGAATCAACTCAAACTTTCTACACAGCATAAGGACATCAATATGTATCAGAAAATGTAATAAAAATTGGGGGTGATTTTTTAGCCATTTTTTGGAAAAAACCATGGACTATAGCCTTGGGTATTTTTCAGAATTTTGAAGTTTTCTTAAAATGGCTGTAACTCAAAAAATTGAAGTCTGAATCAGCTCAAACTTTCTACATAGCATAAGGACATCAATATGTATCAGAAAATGTAATAAAAATTGGGAGTGATTTTTTGGCCATTTTTTGGAAAAAAACCATAGACTATAGCCTTGGGTATTTTTCAGAATTTTGACGTTTTCTTAAAATGGCTGTAACTAAAAAAATTGAAGTCGGAATCAGCTCAAACTTTCTACACTGCATAAGGACATCAATATGTATCAGAAAATGTAATAAAAATTGGGAGTGATTTTTTGGCCATTTTTTGGACTATAGCCTTGGGTATTTTTTAGAATTTTGGCGTTTCCTTAAAATGGCTGTAACTCAAAAAATTGAAGTCGGAATCAGCTCAAACTTTCTACACAGCATAAGGACATCAATATGTATCAGAAAATGTAATAAAAATTGGGAGTGATTTTTTTGGCCATTTTTTGGAAAAAAAACCATAGACTATAGCCTTGGGTATTTTTCAGAATTTTGACGTTTTCTTAAAATGGCTGTAACTCAAAAAATTGAAGTCAGAATCAGCTCAAACTTTCTACACAGCATAAGGACATCAATATGTATCAGAAAATGTAATAAAAATTGGGAGTGATTTTTTGGCCATTTTTTGGAAAAAAACCATGGACTATAGCCTTGGGTATTTTTTAGAATTTTGGCGTTTCCTTAAAATGGCTGTAACTCAAAAAATTGAAGTCGGAATCAGCTCAAACTTTCTACACAGCATAAGGACATCAATATGTATCAGAAAATGTAATAAAAATTGGGAGTGATTTTTTTGGCCATTTTTTGGAAAAAAAACCATAGACTATAGCCTTGGGTATTTTTCAGAATTTTGACGTTTTCTTAAAATGGCTGTAACTCAAAAAATTGAAGTCAGAATCAGCTCAAACTTTCTACACAGCATAAGGACATCAATATGTATCAGAAAATGTAATAAAAATTGGGAGTGATTTTTTGGCCATTTTTTGGAAAAAAACCATGGACTATAGCCTTGGGTATTTTTCAGAATTTTGGCGTTTTCTTAAAATGGCTGTAACTTAGGAGTGAAGCAGTGAGAGGGTGGGAAGGAAAGATGCAGGAAAGAGGAAGGAAATCCAAACAGTATTATCATGATGAGTGTCCCTCCACTATTAGGTATTACTAGAAACCATAAGGTGTACATACCAGAGGTATATTCCTAACTCATCAACATGAGTGGTAGCTATGAAGTGTCCCAGTGAGGACATTGATAAACTAAGAGGAGGAGTAGCAGTATAGAACAAGTCAATGATGAGTCCAGCTGGAATATCCCACGTTGATATGGAGCAATCCATTGACGACACGACCAACCATCTTGAATTAGGAGATATGAGCTAGAAAAATAAAATATAAATATCATTATTATCATCATCGTCAATGATTCATTATCATTACAAGATCAGTGATTCTTCCTGAGGGTCCGTCAAAGGCTCTGGCCACACCTCCTGTCTCAGCATCAATAACTACCAACTGGAAATTATCACAAGCCACACCCACCAAACCACTAAATAATAACAACAATAATAATAATAATAATAATAATAATAATAATAATAATAATAATAATAATAATTGACATTAATAATCAGTACCTTTCTTTATGACAGAACATTCTAGTTACTGGAGATGATAATTCAATAAAATGTAACAACCGTTTATTATAATAAGACCACACCTACCAATAAAATATTAATTAATTAATCAATCAATGAATACAATTACTTTCACTGTCCTATCAGCTCCTCCAGTAATGATGTAGTTTAAATAAGTTGATATACTCCTAACAGGACCTTTATGAGCTACATAATATACTAACAATACACTGAGATATACTGAAGTATACTGACCTGGTTTCTTGTTGATTGTGAATTGGCCTCTCTCCAGTCCGGACTGAATGTTGAACATGAAGACACGCCCACCAGCCGTACCAATGAACATGTAATGACCACACCCACTGATGCAACAACTCTATAAACAATATTAATAAACCACACCCACAATAAACCACACCCACCACTGGTTTATCGCTCAGAGTGATTGAATGCTTTCCAAGACAATAGTTGGTAATGTTCCAGGTGTTAAAAGTGGGCGTGTCCTTGTGTACGCTAACTAAGCTATCCCATTGATGAGCTCTGTGAGCCTCTACATAATCAGAATAACACGAGAGCCACCAATGAATGAGGTGGGGTGGGGTGGGTGCCTTACCAAAAGCAAAGTCAGTGATAAGTGGTAATCTGTTGTCTCTGGAATGTAAAGATTGTTTCTTTTTTTTAATAATCGTACCTAATTATAATCATTAATTGATTAATTAATTAATTAATTAATTAACCTTGTGATAATTCTCTGCTGATAATTTGTCTGCGTAGTCCAATGACCCGGAGACTATTATCAGTTCCTGTTAATAAAGGACACTGCAGGCTCCACCCATTGACCGAACCCACTCACCAGCACTAATGATAGCATGAGGATTGCTAGGATGGAATCTAATTAGCGTGGGCGTGTCACTGTGACCACACCTCTCCTTCAATAAACGAGCACTCCCATCTGACTGGTCAAATATCCAAATCTATAAAAACATGTACATGTATAAAAATTATTATAAAAAAATTACATTTTCTGATACATAATACTTATGTTGTGAAGAAAGTTTTGACATTAATCATGATTATTATTATTATTATTATTATTATTATTATTATTATTACTTTTATTGCATTATCGGCTCCGTTGGTGGCCATTATTGGTTCATTGTTGAAGAAGGTAGCAGCTGCCAGTGACTGATGGGCCCCATACAAGACACTGGCCAGTCTCTTCTCATTGAGGTCCCAGACAGCAATATTACCAGCAGCACTAATGGACACCATCATATCAACACCATCTATAGTATGTAATAAGAGTATAAATAGAGGAGCAGCTGCTGGTAGTAACAGTACCAGTTCTGAAGGAGAGTCCTGTGACAGGACCCCAGTCTTGTTTGAACCTCATGATGGTCTGGTCCGTACGGACATTATGTAACAATACTCCTCCATTAGCTAACCCAACCCCAACCACATCTAGTGCCGTCGACTGCTCCAGACACAATAGGGGAGAGCCCCACCCATTGAAAGTATGGACCAACCGACTATAAATAAATAAATTAATTAATGACTATGAATAAATAATTAACCTGGTTCTTATATTCCAGAGTTGCATTGTCCCTTGATTACTTCCAATTAATAATTTATTAATGTAAGTCAAAGGATGGACAAGACTAGTTACTAAGAAACTGTCTTTACTAAACTGCAACTCAACAACAACAACTAAATAAATAAATAAATAAATAAACAACTAAATAAACAAATGATACTCACCTTCCTTGTTGATGTCCCACACTTTCAATGTGTTATCAACATCAATGGATATTAACTGATCCTTCCCCAGTGATAACAATTTTTTGATAACGGATTCATTCTTCATAGCTCCAATCTCTTCTCCGCCTTCCAATATCTTAATAGTGTCACCAACAGCAGCTACCGTCTGGCGGCCATTTTGAATCAAACACTGTATTTCGTCTTGCTGCAAACGACCTAACAATAATAATAATAATAATAATTATTATTATTATTATTATTATACAAACTTACTTATCATCACCAAATGAAGCTTGTTACACTAGAAGTCAATAAATAAATAAATAAATAATGTTGTTTTTACTTCGTAAACATGAAAGCTCCTACCCACTGCTGTTGCCAGTAGTGACTGTCTACCAGCAGAGAAGAGAGAGTGAGGGACTCCATTACTACATACTCCTACTGCTCTGAATGGCTGATACAATCTGCTACAAGAAGTAGACATGTTTTACCACGTGGGGGGTTAAAATTAGCAAAGGAGCCCCTCCCTTTAGCCGTATTTGAGTGGGTGTTGAAACTTGTACTGAGCATGCGCGGTAAGGGATATTTTCAGTAATATTCCGTATACTTGCTCATTAAATATTCATTATTATTGGTTTCTTGATTATCAAATCTCTACTCTAATCTTGTTTCTCTTTTTACAACAAGAACAAGCTCTACTCCTGCAGACTACAAGAGGCCAAGGAAAGACTGACGGTATGTCTACAGTGAAGCAATGGCTACAGAGATCAAAGTGAGCCACAGACCCAAAGGGAGAGCAAGTATTAATGACCTCTCTCCTTTCATAGGAGCACAGCTCCGCCTCAAGTTCCCTCTCAACCTCCTCAGTTGTTCATTCCAGTGATAAGAGACTGTGATGGTACTATTCCACCACTACACCTTGTTCCTTGGAGGGAGACGGTCCTTGCAGCTTACACTGGGCCTAATGCTGGCCTTACTAGCCTTGATATGAACCAAGAAGGTTCACCATCTTGCTCACTTCCTTTAGCTGGTGCCACCGACTGGAACAAACCTTCAGAAAGAGCTTATGGTATATCACTGTCATTGTATGAAGAAGAGATTATTGAACAAAGCCCTGCATTGGCTAAGAAGGAAGCACCCAGTCTTGCTGCTAAAGAGAAGGACCCTCCTACTTTACAAGAGGAAATAAAAGAGAGGGCAGTGGTCGTTACTGCACAAGAGAGAGAAAGAGAGCATCCTCCTTCTTTGAAAGATGATAATGAATCTCATCATGATGGTGGTGACATTGACCCGTTCCCTGCTCCTCCTCCACTGAGCAGGAACAAGTCAACCATTAATAAACCTTCCCTCTCAGTTCCAGCTCCTTCCCTCCCTCCCTCCTCCTCTCCTCGAGTGAAAAGAGTTGCTGGTGAACCTGTTGCTGATGTGTTTGCTGTTCTTGCTAGAGAGAACAATACAATAATGGCCATAGCTGATGGGGTCAACTGGGGAAAGAAACCCCGACTAGCAGCAAGGTGTGCTGTTCAAACAGCCATAGCATATATATCGGATAATATCAATAAGATTAATGCCACACCTCACTCTCGCACACTGACCACCCTCCTACTAGAGGCAATGGAGAATGCTCATCAGTGTATACTGGAACACAGTGGGACATTAACGACACTAAGTATTGGCATCGTCTGTCAATTGAAACCAAATAAGAAAACATTATTAACAACCTCAACCCCGAACTCTTCTTCAACTCTCTCTCGCTCCTCCTCTAACTGGGGCCTATTCATTGCTAGTGTTGGTGATAGTCCTATCTTTGTCTATTCTCCTACTAACAAATCAATCACTGAAGCTACTGTTGCCTGTCATCCTAAGGACGGGATAAGGACAGCTGCTTTCTCTGGGGGAGCACTGGGTCCTGCCATTGGGACACAGGCAGATATGGAGAACCTCTCCCTCAACTATCTACCCGTGGCTGAAGGTGACATTGTGTTCATGACGACTGATGGTATTTCTGATAACTTTTATCCTCAAGTCATTAGACCAGGTGAGTACAGAGACGCCAAGAAAGGTCCTACAACTGACGTTGAAAGTAGTACTGGGTTCCTCATGGTATCACCGTCAACTTCTCTTCCCTCCTCCACTGGCCTTCCTTCTTCTAAAGTCTCTACACCGTCCTCACGTCTTGAAATGAGGTGCTGTGAGAATATTCCGGAACTAGCTGATCACCTCAGGCGACACGAGTCTATTCTCAACGGACATATTTCAGCTCAAACTGTAGCAGCTTCTCTTGTTAATTTTGCTGTAGAGATCACTGACGAAAAGAGACGATTCTTCACTGAATGCAAGGAGAAAGGAGTCATGGTGAAGTCAAAGTCCAGGGAGGACCCAGAGTTTGATAAACTAGTGAAAAGATTACCAGGGAAGCTGGACCATGCTACAGTAGTGGCTTGTACTGTAGGCAAACACAAATAGCAATAATATGACATATATATATATATATATATATACTGGCATATTAAAGCATCTTTTAATGGACAATAACTACTCAATTTATGTTCATATATATATTATATTAAATGTTTTATCACTTATTTTGATGTTAATAAAAATAAATAAATTATGATGATTTAAACTGTCGATCGCTGAGCTTCGTGAGATCTTTGATGAAACACAAAACTGATGAGACTTGGATCCCAAGCAGTTTTGAGTATTGAATCAGGGAGGATCTTCTTATCAGTGGAGTGGTTCCAATGAGAGAGGTCGCTGGAGCAATCACTGCCAGTTGGAGGCTCCTTAATCTGTTTGTTAAATAAACATCTTTTACAATTTAACCTAAAAACACGTAAATAAATAAAGAGAATAATAATAACTAATCCCAAATGCTGCAGCTTAAAGTAGCTGAGAGAATATTCCAGACATTGTTTATTCATGAGGTGCTATACTGTATTTGGTTTATCACAACCATACATCACATAGTGCTGATTCCATAATTGTATCTCACAGTTATTCTATCAGAAGTGATTTAACACATGCTCACATACCCATGCAACGACCTTATAAGGAATGTCATACGCCCACTCATTTAACAACTGTATGTCACACGACCTTATAAGGAACACCACCCACTCACTTGTCATGAGTGTCAGAGGGCGTGTCCTTGTTCAGTTTGAATAATTGTTTTAAGTCATCCAGTGAGAAGTGTCTCTCGGTGTCCTCCTCCTTATCCACCACACAGCTGCTCAAAGCCTTCTTGTGAGCCTGTCGCTGGAATATCTTCTCTTCTATACTGCCAGTCTTTGACATACAGTAATAGTTAATGATAATAATAATTATTATTATTACTATTAGTAATACTTTGTTAAATGATAACTAATGATAATGATGATCATTACTTACCGATAATAGTCTGTATATAAAAACCTAATATAATCAAATATTAAAGGATCAGTAGTTTATGTTCTTAACTTGTTTCTTCTGCCCATCTCTCCACACTCTAGCCATGGCCTGATCATCATTGGCTGGGTTCCAGTCAGGATCAAACATTATGAGTCGATTGGCTCCGATGAGGTTGAGACCACACCCACCAGCCTTACTGCTCAACATGAATATATAATCAGAACTCTGAAGTAATTAATTAATTAATTATTAAAGTAGGTGTGGTTTACCATAGGATCGTTAAATTTATCAACTATTTTTGATCTTTTTTTGATTGACATTGACCCATCCAGTCTAACAAACTGGTACCTATTAATAATAAGTATCACCATGGTAACATAATGACCACACCCACTTCCGTAATCTACACAGGTCTTCAAACAAATCTAAAGTTTGAGTATAATTCGACACAAGAACAATCTAACAATAATAATAATTAATAAAATAAATAATGAAATAATAGTTACCTTATCGTTAGTGGTTGCCTTGGTAACAGCCAATAAATAATCCAATACAAGCATTTTACCTGAAGGAGAATTAATAACTATTAATAACTGACCACACCCACCTGAGTGTTCCGGCTGAATGCTCTTACTACTGGAATAATGAACAGGTTCATCAAACTCACCAATATTAATTAATGAGGGATCTAATATCAAAAGATTATTAATAGTTATCATACTATCCATTGCAAGTGTCTTCAGTTTCATAGGTAATTTAGAAAAAACCATGGGCTATAGCCTTGGGTATTTTTCAGATTTTTGGTGTTTTCTTAAAAATGGCTGTAACTCGAAAAATTGAAGTCGGAATTGGCTCAAACTTTCTACACAGCATAAGGACATCAATATTTATCAAAAAATGTAATATAAATTTGGAGTGATTTTTAGCCATTTTTTGGAAAAAACCATGGGCTATAGCCTTGGGTATTTTTTAGATTTTTGGTGTTTTCTTAAAATGGCCATAACTCAAAAAATTGAAATCAGAATCAGCTCAGACTTTCTACACTGCATAAGGACATCAATATGTATTAGAAAATATAATAAAAATTTGGGGTGATTTCGGAGCCATTTTTTGGGAAAAACCATGGGCTATAATAGCCTTGGGTATTTTTCAGAATTTTTACATTTTCTTAAAATGGCCGTAACTCAAAAAATTGAAGTCGGAATCAGCTCAGACTTTCTACACTGCATAAGGACATCAATATGTATCAGAAAATATAATAAAAATTGGGGGAGATTTTGGAGCCATTTTTTGGGGAAAAACCATGGGCTATAGCCTTGGGTATTTTTCAGAATTTTTACATTTTCTTAAAATGGCCGTAACTCAAAAAATTGAAGTCGGAATCAGCTCAAACATTTTACACAGCATAAGGAAGTCAATATGTATCAGAAAATGTACTAGTTATTAATAGTTATTATACTAACGGTTGCATAGTTTCTTCAAAGCTGTCACAGCTGCAAGTGATGAACTTTGTTTCTTATTCTTTTCCTCCAATATCAGTTTGGTACTGGAACTCTCCAGTAACTTATCATACAAGAGACACTGAACTGACGTTAACTGACAACAGATTATCTACAAACCACACCCACTAATGACCACACCTACCAGCCACACCCACTAACCAGTTCATATTTAACAGGAAGATAGTGAGTGAGTATTGATGCCGTCCTCCTAATGATACATTTATTAACAATCGATGATAACTCCTGGAGCCTCTCTTGACCCAACTGAACTGCTTTATCAGTAGCTGATGCATCCCGCCCACGCAATATCGGCCCCTCAAAATGACGTCTAAACTCACTAGTGGTGCCTTATATGGAAGAGCCATGAACTGGTAGGGACTAGTGGGTAGCTATATCTTACCCAGTATTCCTGTATTCACAAAATGTAATAAACTGAAATACTCCAGGAGGTCATTCTGTATTGGAGTCCCTGACAGGAGGACCCGACATTGTGTCTTTAACTGTGTCAGTGCTGTATAGGTCTGGTTCTCACAGTTCTTCAACCGATGACCCTTTAATGATCACACTATTACCATCAGTTCCTTCTCTTCCAGTAGCTATAGTACATACCTCATCACAGATTATTAGTCCAGTGCTCCCACTGTGAAGTACAGGAGCATGTAGTCTGAAGGTCTCATAACTTATAATCAGGACTGGACTCACTACTCTCCCATGTTGAGTGATGTACTGACCTAGTGATGATCATTAATAACTATTAATAACTAGCCACACCTACCCAACTTCCTGTCAATCTCTTCCTTGGTCCCTGAGTCAATGGTAATCACTGAGAGTCGACCGCTTAACCATTTACCAATCTCATTGTACCAGTTCTAATGGTCACATGAACATCACATGATACTCACATGATAGTACCTCTACCTTTACCTTTACTAAACTGGAAGGTGTCACTATGATTGCCTTGTCTATGGTAGGGGTCCCTGGGGGAGGGTGGAGGAGTTCATGGTAAGGCTGGTAGTAATGGAGGAGGATTGGGTCATTGTGACTCAAAATGGGTCAGTTTTATTTTATCAAAATTTGCTAAAACTTCTCCCTCCATCAGTACCAGTTGTACAGTATAAGTACACTCACTCACCTTTAGGGCTCTGTTTCTATTAATAGAACAATAATAATCATAATAATGATGATGATGTAATATCGGACCCACCCACCAGTAGTGTCCACATTAAAGTTATACACTGGAGGGTTTTACCAAGGCCCATCTCGTCAGCCATTATGCACCCGTGGTTACCATGGATACGCTGACCTGTTACGCAATCCCACATAAACTTGACACCCTGCAATGAATATTAATTTTTGGGTGTGGTCAAGTTAATTAACTTCTCTCTGATGCGGCCTCAAGACTTTAGATAATACTGGATCCACAACAACTGGAATCAATAATTGCAATAAATATTAATAATGATTAATCATTACTTACCGTGAACATCAACTTCAGAACTAATTAAATATTAATAAATACATGTTACATGTCCGTTACCATGGTTACCTGACAGTCTTCAGTTGCTCCTGTGCCGATACCTCCCGTGGGCTATAGAGTACCAAAGCATTCTCTTCAAACGGGTCATGTAGGGCTGTCTTTAGACCACACCTCCTCATGCCCAGCCCTCTCCTGGCACCTGTCAATAAGCAGGTAACGTTACATGTACATGTAGCCCCTTACCTCCAGTGTAGTTAGGGATGGGAACTTTGAATGGTTGGGACAATATTTGTAATATTCGCTCATTCTATGTAAACCACACCCACTAATGATAATAACCACACCCCCTCTCTCACTCACGTGATTGGTTGTGGATTCACTGATGACTTGTAAAGGCTGTCTGGAGGAACACGGCCTTTTCTATAACATAATTAATAATATACACAATATATTGAATGATACTGGACCAACTGATAGACTGCTGCTGCTGGCATTGTATCCATTTTCCTCATTCTCTAATCTTCTTTTAACTTGACTGGGGGCACAGGATCTACGCTATTTAGAGAAATATTAATGAAAATAAACAAAACTCATTCAAATCCACCATTTTGCCTCCAATTTACCGCGTTCCGTATTCTTGACTAGTATACTTAAAACACGTGAGCTCACATGACAACTTGAACAAAAAACTAATGACAAGTTACATTAATTTTAAAGAGAGTTTCTTCATTACAATAACTATCAGTGATATTAACATTATATGCAATGAAATCAACAGAAAGGAGACCAACCAGCCAGTGTCCATTGTATTGATGGAAACATTAACTAATCCAGTGGATATGTTAGCTATAATGAAGAAGAGGAACTGATTGTAATCAATGGAGGAGATTAAACAATAGTGGGTAGTAGGAGAGGAATAGATGAAGTCATAAAGAGGTGATACTGAATGAACTGGAAGAGTAATACTCATAATATAGAATACTAGCAAGTCAATGAGGTAAGCCATAAACAGGTAATTGGCACCAATTGATATCTGAAAAATAAATAAATAATTATGATGATAATAATAACTCACTATCCAGAGTATGAAGGTAATATTAGCCATCCTCCTTGAGACAGGCTCTATCCAGCCAGTGGAAGCAACAGTACTTAAAATACTGAGCACTGATGCTATTAATAGTAACAGCCCTATGATGTAATAATCTGATGACTTCTCTCTTCGTCTGTTACTAAAAATGTACATAAATTAATGGAAAATAAATGTTTCTTACTTTTCATCCATAAATATTAATCTTCCTAGTTCCATACCAGCATAATAGATAGACAAGTAGCCAGCACAGGAGAACAATCCTTCTCTGTTGGCAGCAATGATACTCTTACGAGAATAAGTGCCACCTGGTCCATAAAGAATGTAATCTCTTACTCCACAACTCAGCAGGAACTGATACACAACACCTATCAACAATGAAGTGATTCCATATTTATACTTGGAAGGAATGCATTGGACTAATGGTTGCAGTGCTGCAGAAAATATCTAAAAATAGTAACATACAGCAATGAACTAATACTGAATTTATAAATAGTAACAATAACTATAAAGGTCGATCCCTCACTTTGACAGCTGCTATAGTAAAGAAGAAGTTCCAGTGTACTCCATATTCAGAGACGTGCTGCTGGTAGTCGGTAGACTTCACTGATAATAGCCTCAGGAGCCCGAGGAGGATGAAGACCCAAACACGAGAACTGACAATGTAATGAGACAGGGACTTCAGGTATCGGCCAATAGAGACATCATCAAGGTGTGTTTCCTTGACTACCATCCCATGGTTGATGATAAACATACCCACACCTATGTCCATTAGACCAGTTCCATAAGACTCTGCCTTAGCCAGTCGTCTTGGGAATACGTGAAAGTCAACAGCCAGTATACATATTGATGTGTATATATTGACCCAGGTCCTCAGTACAGTGAGGAAAGGCGGCCTCTTGGGGAATGGCAGTGATTTTAATAAAGAATGAACCTTTTCAATGCTACCAGCTTTAGGTATCAGTGGTATTATTATTACTAATACTAATATTGGTATCAGTAATGTAATGAAGTATTCTGACAGTATTGTGAATGAGAGTAGACCAGGCAGCATTACAGTAAGGAACTCATAAAAGAAAGCAAAACTAAATAAAAGAAATAATAATAATAAGTATTATTGGGCGGTCATTTACATGATGTTTTCTTGATGATATATTCTCAATCTTTTGTAATACAACAGTAGGCAGTGTCTAATAGCCACTCCCAGTCCACCGGCTATCAGTATCAGGTATAACTCGCTTAGACTCGTCCCAGAGAGGCCACTCACAAAAGCTTCTTTCTCCTTCCTCAAATCCGCCATGATTGACTGGTTATTAGTGGGAGGAGCATAATAATTAAGCTTGTGGTAGGCGGGGCTTAAATTATTTGTTTCCGTATATTATTAGTAAAATTGAAATTGATACAATTTTATACATGAAGGAATGATAAAATCAGTTTTCCGTATATTTCTGGCTAAAAATATACGGAAAATTAAAAACGAGCGATTTTTTATTCCTTCGTGTATAAAATTCTATCGATTTCAATTTTACTAATAGTATACGGAAGCAATTAAGTTAAGCCACGCCCTTTTTAATAAAATGGCGGGTGGTATGAGTGAATTGGCGAGGCGAATTTTTTACATTCAAGAGGAAAGAAAGGCACTTTACGGAGACTTGAAAAGGTTAGAAAACACTTAAATAATTTAAATAAATTAATGGACACTCACAGAGTGTGGTAAATATGTAATCAGTAAAAGTAGTAAACATGTTATTGTTAGTGTTGTTGTTATTGTTGTTGTTAGTCCGTTGAATGTGAGATATGATAACAATACAAGTACATGTACACATGTACTGTCAGCCATAGACTCAATGATTGTTACTAATGGATATGATCCTGTTGTTCCAGCAGTCACTGATGATAAGGTGACTACTATCAGCACACACTCCACACGATCCATTCAGTGATAGCTCGTCCCTTCCTTCATAGCAGCTGATGTAAACTCCTTCTTTGTCAAATACCCTCACTCTATTCCCGTGTAGCTCGGTTACATGAATCACATCATTCCTTATGCTCAGTGAAGACGGTCGCTTCATTTTGTCTTCTTTGATTTCAAAACTGCTCATGAACCTACCATCAGGACTGTACTTAAGGATCCTGCTGTTGCTATCGGCAACATAGACCAGCCCCTCTCTATCAAAGTCCAGGTCCCAGGGTAGAGAAGTTGTTCCCCTTTTACTGTCAGCCGTCCCAAACTTCTTCACGTACTCCAGGTTACTTGATAGTACGAGTATCCTGTGGTTGTCAGAGTCAGTTACATACACTAGTCCATTGAGAGGATGGACTCCTAGTCCTGAGGGGAAGGCCAGTTCAATGTTTCTCTTTCCTTTGCTGCTTCTAATGAGTCTTCCCTCTTCACTATAAACTGTTATCTTGTTGCTACTTGTTACCAGTACCTTATCTCTATCCACTGCTACTCCTCGTGGTTTAATGATGCTCCTGGCCCCCTCCTTCTCTTCGCTGCCGAAATAAAACCGTTTGCTTCCTGTTACCATGGTAACCCTGTCTCCTCCCCATTCTGCAACGATCGTTCCTCCATTGGCACTCCTAGCTACCCCCCAGGGATAATTTAAGTCACTAGTAATGGAGTGACTCGTCTCATTAATTATATATTTATTGATTTTACCTTCACTATCTCCTCCTCCTTTCTCCCCCGGCCTGCTGGTGGTCTCCATTAGCTGCTCCTTCTCTCTCTCTCTTCCTTTCTCCTCCTCTTGCTCTGTCTCTTTGTTTATTTTTTGTTCCGTTTCGTTGAATTTCCTGTTAATTTCCAAAAGGTTCTCAATGACAAATGAAGTATTCAATCCATCAATACCAGCAGCAGAGACCAATGGAGTTATTTCTTGACAGTGAGGACACTCTACGAACCTTTCCCCTCCTCCTCCTCCTCTCTCCTCCATGCAATGGGCACAGAACGTGTGCTGGCAGAGAAGGGTCTTTGGTTCTTGGAGGGTTTTACGGCAAACTCCACACTTTATCATATCATCCATTGAAGTGGCAGGGCCTGGAAACATTCCTTCATTCATTCGTACAGTCAGTACTACTGTATCCCTTTCTTTCTGTAGCTGCTCTTATGCTCTTTCTTTATCTTACCTGCACTGGTGCAGTAGTGGAGGCAGGTCAATGATGTTATGATCTTTTATAGTCAGTCTACAGACTGAAGGGGATGTCCCTTTATCTGGTCAAACCGGTTTCTGTAACTTGTTTTGTTAATAACTTGTACTAATAGATGATTCTTATTAGCCTGTTTTGCTACTCCTCAATGCATTATTATTATAAACTTGAGGAATGTACACGTACATATACATGTACATGTACATGTACGTGTACATGTATATGGAATAGAATGAGTGTCTGGTATTTGTGTGTGTGTGTGTGTGTGTAACTGAAAGTTGTTAGTCCATTCAGAAAGTATGTTTGTGGTTGTTGAGTCAAGCTGTGGTTCAGTCCCTCTCCTTTCATGAAGTGTCTGAATGAAAAATGAAACAACATCAAAGACTGAATACCTTTTATTGCTTTGTTGCACACACACACCCTGTGCTCTAAAAATGACAATTATAAGAATGTGTGGTGGTTTTCTTTTAAAATATATGGTTTTCTCGCCTTTTTTGGCCAAAATCCCTGTACTACAGTACATGGTCTCAGGCCAAATTTCACTAAAAATGAAAAGGAGGGAATTCTGCATTTTTATTACAATTTCTATTGCAGATACATGTTCTTATGTTGGAAAGTTTGAGCTGATTCCAATCAAGTTTGGATTTTTTATGATTTTAAAAGTTGCTGACAAATCAGACAAAAGTCCCCGTACTATATAGTACAGGGACTTTGGCCAAATTTCACCAAAATTCAAAATGAGAGAATTCTCCATTAATTTAATTTATTTATTAATTGCTAAAGGTGGTTCCCCTACTGGTGTTATTATTCATCGGAGGATTGGAATCGTTTTCACTTTTTAATATCTCGTGGGCGTAGATATACTGATCGTGGTTGATCTATTATAATAATAATGATAGATGCTTTTGTTTATTGAAACTAAAACCTCTCCTTTATTATGACTGAGAGACTTTATCAGCTACCCACAGACACACAACTGGAATGGATAGAGGGAGAGGGAGAGAGAGGGAGTGAGAGAATGTGGAGCTGTTTGTGAGAGAAAGATGTAAAGATAAGAACTTTATGTGGGCTAACGTTAGCTTTCATTACTTTTATTCATGAGTCCTTTTATAAGAATATTAACATGCCATTGAGTTACTGGTACTTTACTTCTTTTTGTAATTTTGTGTTCAAAACAGTCAAAAGATGTTGTATTCATAACTGAAGCATAATTGAGCTGAATTTTACAAAATAAAAGTTTAAATTCCATTCATTTAATTTGAAAAATAACACAAATAAAAAGATTATAAAAACAAACACACATTAAACTATCAATTATTTATTAATATTATTATTATTGTTTATTATTATTATTCTATTATTCCAGCAATCGCTGACGTATATTTTTCCTAATTCATCAACCGTTATTCCTAAAGGATGCTTCAGTCTGTCCACTCGTCCATTGACCATGTTACCATCGTCCTCCTCCATAGTACCAGTGTTACCAGCATCCCCCTTGTCCAGTGTGATGTGTCTTATGAAGGACCCTGTTGTATCAAATATGGATACCCTGTTGTTATCATCAGTGATGTACAGGTGGTCCCTACTGTAGCTTATACCAGCTGGCCATTGGAGCTGACCTGGTCCGGAACCCTTTGAACCAAATTTCATTTTAAACTTCCCATCGTGGTCGAATTTGAATACGTTATGAGTGTCATTATCAACTACGTAGGCGTATCCATCTTCATCACATGTAACGTCCCATGGGAACCTAATAATTAATAGTTAATTAATGATTAATAGTTATTAATAGTTATTATTTAATTACCTGAGTACGTCAGCTCCGAATGATTGGCAATAGCTCCAGTCGTTATTCAGTACCTGTATTCTGTGGTTCTTGGTATCTGCTATGAGTATCCTATTATTGGAACAGGTGATTCCTTTTGGTTCCTGGAACTGAAGTGCTCCAGACCCCTTACCGCAGACTGACCGGACACACCCACCATTAACCGTCAGCTTCTGCACTCTGTCGTAATCCGTTACTAGAATCTGATTGGTCGGAGTAATAGCCACACCCCTTGGATCAGTGAACTTCCCATCCTCCTTACCCTTCCCCCCAATGGCTCTCAGTTTGGATCCGGTACTGGTCTGATATAGGCTCACCACATGAGTTCCTGATTCTGCTATCAATAGATACTCGTTATTGGCCCCACCCACTGCCACGCCCCATGGTTGGTGTACGTTAGGTATAATGGTCGTTGATAGTCCGCTGGTCGCTGGTGCCACTGGTATGGTGAATGGGCTGCGGTTGATGTGACAGTCGTTGATCTTTATTGATAGTTTGTGTAGTCCCTCGCTGGTCGGCTTCATGTTCACACAGTACTCTCCAGGACATGCCTCCTTTATTACGCAATCAATGGGTGGGGCTTCATAAGGAGGGAGGAGCTTACAAGAGAATAAATCAGTTGATACAGAGATTGGTCTATCCTCGCTCTTGAGCTTCAAGTGGAATATGGTAGTACTGTTAGCAGTGACTATACTGGCACTGCTGGTGACAGTAGGAGAGCAGTACTGATGGAGCAGTGTCCCTCCTATCTCTCCAATGGTTTTATTGAGGACCAGCAGGCTGCCTGATCCTTTGAATTTAATGTCATTTCTCTCGTTTGGTTCAAAATCTGATAGACCAGACCCTGTGTTCACTCTATCAATGAGTTCCATCATCGTCTTCTTCTGTGAGAGGAACTGCTGGTTTGATTCTATTGATAGAAACTGCTCTAGTGATTCACTCACTCTCTCTATCTCCACCAGCCTCTCCTCCCCCAGGGTCCTCTGGTCCAGTAATACCCTCAGCTTCTTCTCTTTGATGCTAGTCAGTTCTTTTAGGAGATTATTCTTTGATTCCTCCACCAGTTGGGTCAGCCTTTCAGCCAGTGACTCAATCTCCGCCTGTATCTCATCACTCCTTCTCTTCACCTCTTCCTCTCTCTCCCTCACTTTGCTCAAGGAGGATCGGTACTGGTTCCTCTTATTCTCTATATCCTTGAGCCCTCCCCTCACCTCTTCCCTGTGTTTTGATTGGCTCCGGTTGATTTGGTAGTAAAGATGGTTCCCGTGATCTTCAACAGCACAGGATTGGCAGACAGTACTCAAACAAGTTTCACAGTACAGCTGGATCACTTTATCATGCCTTGAACACACAGGACCTATAGAAGAGGAGGAGGTCCTTCTTTCCTCCTTCCCTCCTCCTCCTCCTCCTCCTCTTGGTTCAATGGTGGGTAGTCCCAGTATCCCGTCTGAGGCTAGACTCACAGGAAACCTACATGAAGGGCAGGCCAGTACATACGAGTGTCCGTCTGGCTCCAGCAGGAGCAGCTCCTCTAGACATCGCTCACAGTACGAGTGTTGGCATGGTAACAGTTTAAAATTGTTGCTGGGCGACCGGTCGGTACACAGTGGGCAGTGGGGGACTGGCTCCACTACTGAAGACATTGTGTGGAGGAAGTGAGCAGCAGCTGATGGTGTTACTATTATTAGATTATACCATATTTGGTGTTACTATTAATACCTCATGCTACACTAATTGGATCAGTGTTACTATTTATAGTTATTTCCTGATTCCTCTTCTGAATATTAAATTTTTATTTTATTTTATTTGTTTAATTAGTTACCATATAAGGCATTGGAGTGATAGTTGTAATAATAATTATTTTTATTGTCAAAACAATTAAAGTGTCATTTTACTATAAAAATTAATTCAATTTTTATCATACAACAGGGCTCAGGAGGACTACGTCAAGTCAAAGAGTTCATTTGAATTGTTCCAACAGTCAGTGGCAGCTGCTACTAGCAGCTTCACTTCATTATCACAAGAAATGATGAAAATAGAAAAAATATTTACTGAAAATGATAAAAATAACGTATCAGAACTAATCAAGGGAATACAAGAACAGGAAAAGGAGAAATTGGAATTAGTGAGTGGAAGTGGGTGTGGTTAATTAATTAGCATTTTGCTAAAAAATGCCCTGTACTATAGTCCTGGTTAGTTCATGATTTTTTTTTCAAAAATGGCTCCAAAATCAGCCCAAATTTTTATTGCAATTTCTGATACATATTGATGTACTTATAGAAAGTTTGAGCTGATTCCGACCTAATTTTTTCAAGTTACAGCCATTTTAAAGAATGAACCAATTTTTTAATGAGCAAAGGCCAATGGTACAGCATGTGTATCAGAAAATGTAATAACAATTCTGTCGTAGCCAAAGTGCTACAACTATAGACAAAAGTAGTGTGTCCCAATGGTGTCCTTAATAAAGAGGCTACACTCTTTCTTTATTGTGGTGCATGTACTGATTGTAAAGGCAAGCCACTCTCTTTAGTGTGGAGCATCTTGTAAGGTCTCAGCAACTTTTGATGTATGTACACATATAAGGATTGACAGTATGAGACAGTGACATTATTATTATTGTTGTTGTTGTTGTTGTTATCATTATTATTGTTTTTATTTAGTCTGTACAATATCAAGTATCTATTATCAGAGGTGAACAGGATCAGAAAGATAATCATCATCATCATGATAATGAAGATGATGATGATGATAATGAACTAGCTACAGTGCAACTGAGGAGACAGTAAGTCCATGCTGATTAATACCTCATTCTGTGTCATGTCCAGCTGCTGATTACCTGGGATTAGGGGGAGGAGCTAGTTTTGGGATAGTGCCAGGTTTAATGCCAAATTCTCTCCTTAAAAAGCACTGGCTCCATGTTTACATGCATATTAATATTAACAGTAGGTTTTACTTGCATAGTTTTAATGATATACTCCTCCCTCTCTCTCTCTTGTAGACTCTCAGTGTGTGAAGCTGCAATAGCATCATTACTGGAAGACCTAAGATATGAATGTGAAGAACTATTATTAACAAAACATGTTGATTAATATTATTAATATCATTTATTGATTTCTATTATGTACATTCCTGCTAAGCAACACCTGTATATATTTAAAATAAGAATAATATTCTGTTAATTAATACATTCAATTAGCAATTAGTTTCAACACCTCCACTAGTGTTTAACCATTAATAACTACCGATAATGTCTAATTGAGTGGGCGTGTCTTCCGCACGTGCTGTGCACCCACCACCCCCTCTCTCTTTTCTTGCCTCTCTCTCTCTGTCCCTCTCTCTTCCCCCCTAAGGTCCCAGTGGCTTCTCTCCTGTCCTCCTGTTCCTTCCCCCTCTCCCTCAGTCTCCCTGTCCTTCTGTTTCTGTTGTGTGTCGAGAGAGGGTGCTAGTCCAGTTATGGTGTTGTTTAGTGGATTAACGCTCTTTTGTCTTCTATTCCAAGGACTCGTGTTTGTAAAAGGTGAGTTATGTTTATTTTAAATACACTATCAGTAGTTGACCCGAGGCTACAGCATATCATCCAATCAATACTACCACTCCTTGCAATGTACTTAGACTACTTGTCATCTTGTTCATTATTCTCACTTCATTATCATATCATTATATACCCTCTCTCTCCCTCCCTCCCTCTCTCTCTCTCTCCCTCCCTCTCTCTCTAAAGCTGAGATCATTATATCAATACATGAGTTACAGTTCCATTCTATGCACCGAACAAGGGGTAAGACTCGCCTCCGGTTTGATTCAACAGATCGCCCCATTAGCCTCACCCCTGGCCTCTCCTTTGGATTCTCTTGTGATGCAGCTGACCACACTGCTACCCCGTGGTACGCTAATTCAACCAGTGTACCTTTGAGGGACCCTGATAGTGTAGGAGAGTCACTGGTCTATTATTATGATAAAGGTACTGAAAGAATATTGACATTCCAGTATTATAACTCGACCATGAATGGAAACTATTCCTGTACTACTGCTAGTAGTCAAAGAACTTTAATTATTAGTGAAGGTAGGATATCATCATCATCATCATTATTATTATTATTATTATTGTTGTTGTTGTTATTATTATTATCATTAGGTGCTATTACAGTGCTGCTGGAGTACCAAACCTATAATAAGGATACAGTGGTTGGTAATTCTCTTACTGTTACTTTACAGGTCTTCTATGCTGGAATACCCACCCCCTCTGCTGACAACCTGACCTGGTACTTTAACGGAGACCTCATTACGGATCAGCTTAGATCAGATCTTAGTATAACACCTTTCACTAGTACCCTGTTCGTTATCCAAGGATTCAGTTTGATTCAAGATGGAGTCTATCTTCTTAATGTCACTACTTCAGCTGGTACTGCTGCCGCCAGTTTTTTCTTTGACATTAAGTGTAAGTACATGCACCAGTGTCCATTGTCCTGTGGTCCTATTATTGTCCTGCGTAGCGGCCATTGTGTTATACACGTACATGTACATGTACACTTACATGTAAGTGAGTATGAATATTGTGATATTGTGGTTAACCATTCGTAACACCTGTGTATACTATCAGAGATGATTTACTACTCAACCTTTCTCTCTCTCTCTCTCTCTCTCTCTCTCTCTCTCTCTCTCTCTCTCTCTCTCTCTCTCTCTTTCTCTCTCTCTCTCTCTCCCCTCTCTCTCTCTCTTAGCTCGTCCTGCTGCTTGTTTCATTACTTCTGGTAGCTGCCTCAAGCAATGGGAGAGAACCATGTCTTTAAATTCTTCATTTGTCCTCAATTGTACTGATGATTCAGGGGACCCTCTCTCCACATTCCAATGGTTTAAAGACGACATTAATATTACAGCATCTACTAATCCTCAGCTCAGTATAACTCAGTATACTGATAGGATATCATACCTAACTGTTACTAATGTTAGTCCTGAACTGGCTGGCTCATACAAGTGTGCCACTAATAATGGAATAGGGAAGAGTCAGGCTGTTGCTGACATATTAGTTGAATGTAAGCCTATCCTTTAGTACTGTATGTACATGTACATGTACTGTAGTTCATAATGTCTGCCCTCTTATCCCACAGTCTCTGATGTGGTGATTATATTCATGTACAGTAACATGTACCTCAGACATGGTTCCCTTGAAGTCTTTCTTTGTCTCACATTATGTCTTCATTTTACCAACCTCTCCCTCTCTCTCTCCCTCCCTCCCTCTCTCTCCCTCCCTCTCTCTCTCCCTCTCTCTCTCCCTCCCTCTCTCTCTCCCTCCCTCTCTCTCCCTCTCTCCCCCTCTCTCTCTCTCCCTCCCTCTCTCTCTCTCTCTTTCAGTTACTCCCAATGTATCACGGATCACTCCATTAAATTCCTCTGTCCCTGTTGGTCAGTCTATTCAGCTCCTGGTTCATTTCATTGGAGGCTATCCACTACCAACTGTCACCTGGTACCGGTTGCTAGGCATAACCAATAGCAACAGGGTACCCATTACTGACCCTAGGGCCAGTGCCTCGGGTCAGTACTCTCTCAATTTAACGATCACCAACTCCTCCTTGTCTGACGATGGACTTTACTTATTAATGATTAATAACACTATTGGAGCTATTGAAATAGAGTTTAATGTTACCATATTAGGTAAGTATATTAATCTGATACAACGTACTATCCTTCCCTGGGCCATATAGAAAGTTTGAACTGAGTCCAATTTTCAATATACCTGAGTCGTTTGTCAGTACATGTACATGTACATGTATCCACAGCTCTACTGTCATAGCAATACTTGTTGGACTATCATGTACATTGCATTCATGAAGTGTTAATAAATGTTGTTATTGTTTTTTGATGGTGTGATATTATTGTTTTTATTAAAGTTGTTTTAATGTGTTTCTCTATGATAACAGTTTAGTGACCTCTTGATTAGAGAGGGAGAGAGAGAAAAAGGGGAGAGAGAGAGGGAGAGAGAGAGAGAGAGAGAGAGAGAGAGGGGGGAGAGAGAGAGAGATAGAGGGAGAGAGAGGAGGGGAGAGAGAGAGAGAGAGGTTCCATAGTTATTTATATTTACATGTATACCTGTAATGTATGGAGTATGGATCATTATTATTATTATTTATTTATTGTACGTGCACAGAGAAGGTGTAGGGAGGTGTGTCTGTTGATAATGATATGATAAAGGAATGACCTCACAGTGAGGTCAGAGAGAGAGAGAGTAGGTTACACTGTTCATTAAAGGGACACTATTGTGTGACTCTAATTGACTGATAAATGTTTCATTACATGTACATGTGCTTGACATGTGCTTGACATGTGTTTTACATGTGAATGGAATTTAATTACTGTTATAATTATTCACCATTCTACTATTACCATTATTATTATTATTATTATTATTTTAGTCCCACCAGTACTCACTAACTTATCTTCTTTGGTTTTATTCCATCGTTCCTCTGATTGTGCTCAGTTCTTGGTCAGTATCAGTTCAGCTAAACCTCCTGTCACTTCATCACTCATTCAATGGAGTGGCTTGTATCAGTCAGAGAGATCCACTGCCTTACTAATGAATGGTGTATCTAATATGACCCTATGTGGTCTGGTTACTGATGACACTGGCCCTGTTACCATGACTATTACTCATCCAGGAGCACCTAACATCAGTATCACCTTTCACCTAACTGTCTGGGGTGAGTTATTATATGCAGTTACGGCCATTTTAAGAAACCACCAAAATTCTGAAAAAACCCAAGGCTATAGTCCATGGTTTTTTTCTGAAAAATGGCCAAAAAATCACTCCCAATTTTTATTACATTTTCTGATACATATTGATGTCCTTATGCTGTGTAGAAAGTGTGAGTCAATTCCAACTTCAATTTTTCAAGTTACGGCCATTTTAAGAAAACGCCCAAAATTTGAAAAATACCCAAGGCTATAGTCCATGGTTTTTTTCAAAAAATGGCCAAAAAATGACCCTAAATTTTTATTACATTTTCTGATACATATTGACATCCTTATGCTGTGTAGAAAGTTCGAGCTGATTCCGACTTCAATTTTTCAAGTTATGGCCATTTTTAAAATGCCAAAACCAGGTCAAGGTAGTCCCTGTACTATAGTACATGATCTCGAGCCAAATTTTGCCAAAAGTGAAAAGGAGAGACTCCCTCGATTTTGATTCCATTTCCTGTACATTCCCTCATGTTCTTATTGTCTATTCTTCAGGTCCTCCTCTCCCCCCGTCTAATTTAAGGATCTCTCGAGTCTCCTCTTGTATTATTTTACTTGATTGGTCGAATGTTTCTATAGCCACACCCACACCTACCGCTGCCCCTATTAATAATGTAATATTAATAACTAGCTATTGTGATTCCTCGTCAATGCTCTGCACTCAAGAGAAGGAGGAGCTATTCTCTCTGTCTGTTAATAACACTAGGCTCCACCTCTTACCTTATAAGGAATACACTTTTAGTCTCTTATCTGTGAATAATCTGATTGGTCGCGGAATATCAAGAAATAACGGTAGTTACTCAACTTTAAGCGATGGAGCAGGTAATTAATTGTGTTATTATTATTATTATTATTATTATTATTTACAGGTTTCAGTCCAGTTGTTGTGTCTTCTAATATCACTGCCAATAGTTCTTACTTATCGATCAGTTGGTTCCCGCCCACTCAATCTAGTACTTGTTACAATATATCCCATTATTCCCTGGACTGTTACAGAGGACAGGTGAGCGGAGGGAGGGGTGTGGCCCCAGTTTATAGTACTAATGTTACGGCTGACGTTAGACGTGATGCAATTCATGTACACGTTCCTGTTATGGCCCAAGACACGAGATATTACTGTTTAATTAATGTTATTGTATCTGACGTCAGTGGGGGCGTGTACTCACTAACCACACCCACTAATATGAGCGTCAATACTCTACCAGTGGTGCCTCCTCCACCAGCCACGCCTACCTTCTCAGGACCCACTGAAACTGATAAACCTTACACTGTCACTATTAACCTCTCAGGCTTTAAGCCATCCCTTCATAACGTGGGTATCATTAGGATTGGTGTTCTTAGATTAGGTTCCTCCCCCACCCTTCCCTCAGGGTCCCCTGACAGTCTTTATGCCTCAGATCAGTTCTTCACTAGTTATGAAGCGGCTCACCGACCCCAGGGAGGGGGTCCTAATTCTAAACCTTATTTTGCAGTTGAATTAACTATCGACAGTATAGGAGACTCCTTTGTGGTTGGTAGTGAGTCTAATGACACTAGGAACAACAATAAGAGGAGGGAGGCAGCAGCTGTGTTCACTAATGGCCCCCTGGATGATGAGAGTTATTATACTTTCTTCATAAGAGCTTATTCTCATTCCCGGTATGGGCCACAGTATAAGATATACAGTTCAACTAGTTTCACAAGTCCCGTCAAACCAGTTTCTGGTAGCAGTCCAACTACTGATAGACCCACCTCTGGCAGGAGAGAGGGAGGAGGAAGTGTTGGTATAGCAGTGGGTGTGGTCTTCTTTGTACTGCTCCTGATTGCTGTTGCTGTTACTGTACTAGTGGTTCTTATCCTGTTCTGGAGGTAAGGATATGTTGTTGTTATTATTATTATTGTTATTATTATTATTGTTATTATTATTATTGTTATTATTATTGTTGTTATTATTATTGACAGGAAGAGTAAGCGTAAGGCTAGTACTACACTGTCTAGTGTTGAACATGATGGATCAGCTTCTCCTCCTAGGAGCAACCAGTACACTTCTCACGTTAGTCCACATGTATTACCTGTTATTTAATTATTATTATTATTATATACACGTACCATCAGGTGCTCATTCCTATATATTCATTTTATTACATTAGTTGTACACATCATGTCTTCACTATTGTTTGATCCATTATCTCTTCACATACACTATCTACACTATAATGGATTCATGTGGTATCTCTTATTCACAGGAGGAGATTAAGGCTAGAACTAGTTCCTTGTCCTCCAAAGACTCTCCAGTCCGTTCACCAGTGACCAATGGCCCTCCAGTAACCAGTGGTCCTCCAGTGGTCATTGGATCAGTACCAGCGGCCACTAACCCTTGCTATACCCAGGAAGAGGAGGAGGAGGAGGTGAAGCGTCCTCCATCAGTTGATGGTGAACCTTTTTTAGATGATGCTCTCTCATTATCCGAGTTCAATCCTCCTCCTCTTACTCCTTCCTCTCTCACTTCTGCCGGACACGTTACCATGGATACCATTGATACCTGCATCTCCATGGATACGAGTGTCATCAGTAACGGTGCTGCTGCTAATGGGTCCTATTCTCCTAGTGATTTCAAGCCAGGGGAACACGTGGGGAGGGATGAGTTTCAAGAACACGTGGAGAAACTGGACAAGAACAAACAGGAGATATTTAATGAGATATTTGAAGTAATTAATTAATATTTAATTAATTGATAATGGCCCCTCCCACTCTCAGTTCATTAATAGTACATCTCCTGATTACGCGTGCATTGCCTCACTGGCAGCTCATGAATATGATCAGACTAAGAATAGATACAGGGACGTCGGAGCTTGTGAGTTATTAATACATGTAATTAATTAATTGATAATGAATATTTAATTAGTTGATCATACAAGAGTCACATTACAAGAGATACCAGGAGTACCTCATTCACATTATATCAATGCTAACTTCATTAAGGTAATACTAGTACACCTTTATAGGACTGTATGGATAATGGATACCTCCTCCTCCTCCTCCTGTACTGTAGGGGTATCACGATGATAAGCTCTATATTGCCACTCAAGGACCAAAGGAAGAAACTACTGATGACTTCTGGAGGATGGTATGGGAACAACGGACCGTTACCATAGTGATGCTGACCAACCTGATGGAGTCTTACAAAGTAATTTATGATAATAATAATAATTATTATTATTATTATTATTTTTATTTTTGTAGTCTAAATGCCATCAGTATTGGCCAAGTAGTGGTCAGTGTTGCTATGGCGATATAGCTGTCAGAGTGGATCGAAACATTGAACTCCCACACTACACCATTAGAGGATTTAAAGTGTTCAATGTGAGTGTTACTAATAATAGAACAGATTACATCATCATTAATGTATTCTATTAATAGGAGAGGGACACGACAGAGAAGGAGAGAACTGTCCTTCAGTTCCACTACACTGCATGGCCTGATAGAAATGTACCAGCACAAGCATCTCATGTCTTGGATTTCTTAAGGGCAATCAACTCAGCCAATGATAAGGAAGAGTATGGACCAATAGTAGTTCACTGCAGGTAATGGATGATGTATGATCCATCACTGTTGTATCTGGGAAGGGATGGCCTACCTAACTATATGAGGAGACTGAACGAGACCTAGGGCTAAATATGAGACACTAAAAGTCTCCTAAACCCTCTATATCTACCATTGATTCATTTATAACCTACTGTACTTTATAACCTACTCTCCCTCCCTTTAGTGCTGGTGTTGGTAGAACTGGTACCATCATTGCATTGGACATTGCACTGGAGCAACTTAAATTAGAAAATAAAGTTGATATAAAAGGAATTGTAACCTTCCTTAGGAAACAAAGGAAGCAAATGGTCCAAGCACTGGTATGTAACTTAATAACTACTAATAACTACCAATAACTATTAATAACTACCAATTACTGTTAATAACTACCAATAACCTCTCCTTCCCTATATGTAGTGTCAGTATATATTCATTCACAATGCTATACTGGAGGACATAGTGTATGGAGATACTGCAGTGACCATTGATGAGTTTAAAGATCGTTGCATGAAGCTACAGGAACCTACTCTCATTAATGAAGAGTTTAATAAAATAGGATCAGTCAAACCACCCGCCCAAGCCTGTCCAGGACCCAGCATAGTTCCTTTTGAAAGTAAGGGGAAAAGGAAACACCATAAATTTATGTGTTCTATTATTATTTTTATTTTTAGCTGATAAAGATTCAAAGTTCACTTCCTATTATCTTGACGTTAGTTATTAATAGTTATTAATATTATTAAGCCACACCCCCTTATGCCCACAGGGTTACTGGACCCCCAACCTCTTCATCAAGAGTCCTTCCCCGACCAAAGAGACTGAGGAACTCTTCTGGAGACTGATAGTCCAGAATGAGTGCACTCATATTATCAACCTCTCACCTGCTGATATCACTGTATGTACAGTATACTGTACATGTACTTGTACATTTATTCTCTTTTTCTAATTATAGACGTATTCATACATTCCTCCTGACGTTGGGGACAGACAATTAAAGTTTGGCCCACTCACAGTCTCTGTTGGTCGTAAACAGTTCAACACTGGCTTCTCCACCAGAGATATCTCTATATTCAATGAAGAGGTAAGCAGCAGACTGTGTTATTGTATCATGCAGTTATAAATATTGCTATTATTATAACAACAGGATTCCTCAACATTGAAACTAAAGTACATTCAATATCAAGAAATGTTACTCAAGCAATGCTTTCCAAGAGCTGATAAATTCATAAAGTTTATTCAAGGATGTTTGGTGGAGGCGGAGTCTTGTCACCGTGGCAACCATCCTATATTAATACATGACGAGTAAGACCACCTCAATACATTTCCTGATACATGTACATGTACTTATGTTGTGTAAAAAGTTTGAACTGGTTCCGATCAAAATTAGATTTTTTACGAATTTTGAAAGTTGCTCCAAAATTGAGCCTAAGTCCCTGTACTACAACAGTACAGGACTTTGTGGTCAAATCTTGCCAAAAATGAAAAAAGAAGAGAATTCTAACATTATCTGATGCATATACAGTACTTGTGCTGTACATATACTGACCAGTCTATGTTCATTCCTTCTCTTCCAGTGGTTCCAATGGCCCTGTTGGTATATTTGCTACCCTGGCCTACTGCCTGCAAAGAGCCAAAAAGGAAAGGATTATTGACCTGCTCCAATCTGCCAATCATCATTATCTACAGTGCCCTGGACTTATTGTTAATCTTCAGTTTTATGCTTATTGCTATGACTGTCTTCTTGAATATTCTGACAAGCTCCTAAAGGAGGAGTCACTGCCCCCCATATATGAAAATATTGCCTCCATAAGGGGAAAATTGGTACCTTCACCAGAACCCCTGGACGAGAAACACAAAGAGGTCATGGAACTAGGATATGATATATTGTAACACTCTTTGGATATAAATTATTTTCTTTATTGACTTCTTCCATAATTTCTTGCACGGCCTACACTACAGTTTGTATAAATTTGTCTGTTTGTTTGTTTGTTTGTTTGTTTGTAGTTACATTATTTTATGTCAATAACCTGTTGCTATTCTTGCTTTAATATCTCTTGTTACTATTATTATTATTATTATTATTATTATTATTATTATTATTATTATTATCCACTATCTTTTCCCACTACATTTGAACAAAGACACTAACTTTACAATACTTTCAATGAGCCAATGCCCACTATAGTGAAAGCACTCCTGACTGCATGCGTGCAGCCAGTATTAGACTATACTGAAACTCCTCCAGTAGTGCCTGTGGAGTATTGGCCTACATACTGGACATTGTCATTCATGCTATTGTTCTTATAATCCTAAAACCAGGCTCAGGATACTTGCATTATGATCTGTAATAGATACTTGCAATAGAGTCTGGTGCCTTGCTTGATATCAACCCGTGTTTACTACACAGTATAATACTAGACTACTGTGGCATGGGTGGTTTCTAATATAACCATGGTAACAGTGATTACATTGGGTCGACCGAACTCTGCCAGACAAGCACGAGTTGAGATTAGGCATGAAACCAGACTGATCTAAAAATTGAGTCTGGCCCCGCAAGACTAATGGCAAACTAGTTCTATTTTTGTTTTTTTATTGCATCATGAAGCACTTCCTGTTGCAACATGGGTATAATGAACCAAGCTTTAGGTTACATTCCAGTTTGAAATAATTTTTTTTCGCTTATTATTGCAGACTACTCAACTACAGAAATAGAGCATGCTTTTTAAAATTAATTATCATTTAAGTAGCAAATTACAAATAATGAAATTTAGCAGTTCTTAATATTCTTTAGCATCCACCATAACAGCTCCAGATGTTCCTTCCATTCAAAGCTTGAGTCCAACGATAATTTTTCTTCAGAGATTGGCTGTCTTCTGTCTTCAGACTCCTCAGTGTATCTAAGAAAGCCTCAGGTACATTGATTGGATGCTTCAGTACAATCCACTGAACATTCTCAGTGCAAGGGGGACTAGTGAGAGAGCCAGCGTAAAGGTAATAATCTTTATTCTCAGGAAGATAATCATCAAGGTTAAGACCAATAATGAATATTTCTTTGTTGTAGGGAACTTGATGTTGGAGCCTTCGCCACTTCAATGATACTTGTGTTAAAGTACGATCAGAGTTAAGGAATACAGCTAGTACTACATGTTTCTTAACACCACGATTGTCATTACCAGAGAAGACGAAATGTATCTCTCCATTGTATGATCGACCATCAACAGTGTGTTCCGAACCAAACCTGCTGTACTTCTCACCCCAGTGAAAATGAAATTGAAGGAGCTTAAACCTTTTATGATTAGGAGAGTTCAGGTATGTAAGAGGCTGGTACTTATATGGTGTTACCACAAGAGTATGCCCATTATTTTTCAAGTGAAAAATTCCGTAAGTGTCATTCCACAATTCCATTGTGAGAGGAGTCATGGACTCTACGTTGGAAATTATATGATGTGTTTCAATATTTATAGGCGACTGGAGTTGGCCTCCACAATCAGGACACTTAATGATCCATTCCCACTGCTTGATGTAGCTGAAATAATAATTTTTGCATATTCCAGAATTCCTTGCAGCATAAGGACTAGCCACTGTAGTATCATAGGACAATAGAAGTGCTACCAGTAGGACTGTGACTCCTTCCATTATTGACTGTAAATTAAGACACAATGACACTGCAACAACATTTTGTATTTAAACTTGATATCTAGATTCAATTTTACATAATATTCATTATTTAAAAATTGCCCCGCCTTTTATATAAAGCAAGATAGACAATACTGCGTTACAAGACCATGTAAGTAATTGATTAATAATTAATTAATTGATAATGAATATTTAATTAGTTGATCTTACGAGAGTGGTATTACAAGAGATACCAGGAGTACCTCATTCTGACTATATCAATGCTAACTTCATTAAGGTTATACTAATACACCTGTATAGGACTGTATAAGTAATACCATACTATAGTACCATATTGTAGCATAATGTAGGGGCACTATGATGATAAGCTGTACATTGCAACTACACTATATACAGTTATCAGTTTGTATAAATTTGTTTGTTTGTTTGTTTGTTTGTAGTTACATTATTTTATGTCAATAACCTGTTGCTGTTGTTCTTGCTTTAATATCTCTTGTTACTATTATTATTATTATTATTATTATTATTATTATTATTATTATTATTATTATTATTATTATTATTATTATTATTATTATTATTATTATTATTATTATTATTATCCACTACCTTTTCCCACTACATTTGAACAAAGACACTAACTTTACAATACTTTAAATGAGCCAATGCCCACTGTAGTGAAGGCACTCCTCACTGCATTCATGCCAATAAACAAAGCCAGTATTAGACTATACTGAAACTCCTCCAGTAGTGGAGTATTGGCCTATATACTGGTATCTGTCATTCATGCTATTGTGCAGTTTTCATTACAACTCTTAATTAAACCTGGTTCAGAATACTTGCCAATAAACAAAGCCAGTATTTCACTATACTGAAACTCCTCCAGTATCAGAGGATTGGTGTACATACTGGACATTGTCATTTAGTTATTGTTAAGCTTATAATCCTAAAGCCAGGTTTGGAATACTTGCATTATGATCAGAAGTTCTGTATGATACATAATAATGGTAAAACACAATAATAATGGTCAATCGGCAAATGTGAGAATTAAGAAGTAATGTAGCTCAATGCTATGGCTCAGTTTATAGAATAGAGTCTGGTGCGTAGCTTGATATCAACCCGTGCATGTTTTCAATGTCTTTTCTACACAGTATTATGATACTAGACTATACTGTGGCATGGGTGGTTTCTAATATAACCATGGTAATACTAATTTCATTGGGTCGATCGAATTTCGCCAGTCAAGCACGAGTTGAGATTAGGCATGTTCTAAAAATTGAGTCTGGCCCCGCGAGACTAATGGCATGCTAGTTCTATTTTTGTCTTTATTGTTGCATCATGTGGCACTTCCTGTTGCAACACGAGTATAATGAACCAAGCTTTAGGTTACATTGCAGTTTAAGCATTCGCTTGCACTTATTATTAACTGTTTAACTAAAGCAAAACAGTCTAATATTTAAAGCAGCAAATTAATTATTATTTAAAGCAACAAATTGATTAGCAAATAATAATTATTTATTTAGCAGTTCTTAGTGTTCCTTAGCAACCTTTGTAGCAGCTGTAGAGGTCCCTTCCATTCAAAGGTTGAGTCCCACGATGATTACGTGTGAGAGGTTTACCATCTTCTTTCTTCAGACTCCTCAGTGTATCAAAGAAAATCTCAGGTACTACAATTGGATTCTTCATTACAATCCACTGAACAGCCTCAGTGCAGGGAGGAGTAGTGAGGGAACCAGCGTAAAGGTAGTAATCTTTATTCTCCGGAAGATAATCGTAAAGCTTAACATCCTGTACCTGTTCTTCACTGTTGTAGGCAACTTGACAATTGAGTTTTTGCCACTTCACGGGTACATTTTTTGCAGAACGATCAGTTTTAAGGAACACTCCTACTACTGTGTACTTCTGAGAGCCACATTCATCCGTACCAGAAAATACGAAATGCATCTCCCCATTGTAAGCTCCACCATCAACTGTGTGTTCCGAACCGACTTTGGTATTCTTTGGTCCCCAGTGAAAATGAAATTGAAGAAACTTAAAGCTATTATGATTACGAGAGCTCAGGTAAGCATCTGAGCCATACTGAGAGGGAGTGAACTTGAGTGTATGCCCATTGTTCTTCAATGTACCACTTCTTACATCACACCACCCACACATTTTAAGAGGTGCCACAGACTCATCGGTATTAGCAGCAAGAGAACTTAGAATATTTATTGGAGACTGGAGGTTGTGTCCACAATCTGGACACTTGTTCTTCCAGTCATCTTGATTGCTGTAGCCAAAATGATAATCCTTGCAAGTTTTACCTTTATCCCCTGCAGCATAAGAACAGGCCCCTGCAGTATTATAGCAGAATAGAATTGCTACCAGTAAAGCAATGATCCCTTGCATTGTTATTGATTGTAGATACACAATGATACTATTGTGTCTTATGAGCTTGTCATGCCTTTATATAGCAAATGCTTTTATATTATTTGAATTTTATTAGTACGTTTTTAGAATTAAATTTTAAATATTCATTATTTTGAAAATATTCCCCGCCTTCTGAATGAGCCACATCCTCACTGACCTGCAGCAAATTTTTGATGAGCCAATTCTTTGTTAGCTTTGAACTAATTTGGCAACTCCTAACTACTAATAAATTTAATTATCTCTATTTAAACAAACAGCAACAGATAGTCTTTAAGTATTGGCTCTTATGTCCATACTTATACATTAACTTTTGTCACGTTTCTTTTATTGAAAGATCCAACCTATTGTCATGTGCAGATTCTCTTGCTTAAGATTGCATTGTAGCATTTCACTTACATTCTTATTGCTAACTGTTTAACTAAAGCAAAAGCAGATTCTATAAATTTTTGAGGAGTATATTAAAATATTATTTATTATTTAAATAGTTTTCAATGTTTTTTATAGCATCCTCCATAGCAGCTCCACAGTTTCCTTGCATTCAGTGGTTGAGTTGCACGATAATTAGTTTTCAAAAACCCACCATCATCCTTCTTATGACTCCTCATTTTATCTAAGAAAGCCTCAGGTACATTCATCAGATGCTTCAGTACAATCCACTGAACATTCTCAGTGCAAGGAGGACTAGTGAGAGAGCCAGCATAAACGTAATAATCTTTACTCTCCGGAAGATAGTCATCTAGGACAATGTTGTATATGCTTACCTTGCTATTGTAGACAACATCATTGCTCAATTTCTGCCACTTCTCAAACATTGCTTGTGAAGTATGATCAGATTTAAGTAACACAGCTAGGGCTGTGTGCTTCATAACACCATAAGCATCTTCACCTTTGAATAGAAACTGCATCTCACCATCATACGCTTGACTGTTGATGGTGTGTTCCGATCCTTTTCCGCTGTCCTTTAGCCCCCAGTGAAACTGAAATTTAAGAAACTTGAACCTGTAGTGATTGGGGGAATCTAAGTAAGCAGGAGGCTGATCCCAGTTTGGTGTGAATGTCAAGGTATGACCATTATTGCTCCAACTACCACTTCTTGGAGAGCACCATCCTGTCATTACAAGAGGTCTCATTGATGGTATGTTAGTAATAGCACGATAAGTATCAATATTTATTGGAGACTGGAGGTTGTGTCCACAATCTGGACACTTGTTCTTCCAGTCCCACTGCATGCTGTAGCTGAAGTGATAATCCTGACACTCATCATCATCATCTGCTGCAGCATAAGGACTGGCCCCTGCAATATCATAGAGCAGTACAAGTGCTACCAATAGGACTATGATCTCTTGCATTGACTGTTATGATAGTCAAAATGATTGGTTATTTCTTAATTCAGCTTTCTGACTACAAGGACGCAATAATGCCTACTTGTGGTGCTAATCACTATGCTATGTAAACATACGCGCTGTGGTATCACAGATTATAGGTGGGTTTAGACAGACACTCTCCCTAAGTAATTATCCACTCTTGCTTATAATGTGCATACCGGTATTCAATTTGAAAAGTTACCCCGCCTACTATTGAGCCACACCCTTACTGCCCTGCAGCAAAACGCATCAAACATGGCAGGATTGGACCTTAGCCTTAGTAACGCTCTTCTTGACGGAACACTGACCCGTAGGACAGGGAGGGAGGAGAGGAAAGGAACTGATCCTTCATCACAGGAGACCTTTCCAGCTCTGGTCTACACTGAACCACACAAGGCATTGGACCAAAGGGTACTGTTCAGACCACCACAGCAAAAGAAGAGAGGAGAAGGAGAGAAAAGGAGAAGACACTCCGAGATAACAGCGCCTTATGGCAGGCACAGCAAGTCTTGGGATGAAGTTATTTCTGACTTTATTTCGAATAAAATATTGAAAAACACTCCAAAGGAAGAACCACGACCATTGACCAGGAGCTTGAGTTGGGATGCACTCCACACATTGAAAGGAGGGAAAGTAGAGGAAGAGAAACCTGCTCCTAAAACATTTGTATTTAAACCACAAAAGAGGAAGATCAGTCGGTTAGGAGGTAAACAAGAAGAGGTGATCAAAGAAGCCACTGAAGAAGAAGAGGTACCCCCTAGGAACTACCAGCTGGAAGATAATGATGACCCTGCTGGTCCTTATGAAGTTCCTATGCCTACGCCAAAGCGACCGATCAGATCAAGTGATCCTATGAAACCTACAAAATCTCCTCGGACAAAAAAATCGCCGAATGATGAGTCAGCAGTAGTAGCACCTGTCGCTAAGCCAAGAACTAAAATACCATCAAACGTCACTCCAGTGGAAGCCACACCCATTGCCCCTCCCCCTAGGGACATTGTTTCTAATACGAGCCGCCACACTTCATTTGTAGTTCAGGATATAGTCTCACCTCATTCAAAACTGGATGAGATTAAACCGATAGTTAAAGATGGTGACATCGGCCTATTGAAGATTAGAGTATTAGGAATGAGACTACCTCAGGGACCCACCAAGAACAAGGGAACTGACTCAGGAGGGGAAGAAGAGGAGGTGGAGCCTGTTGCTACAGTAACACCAAAAGATGGCCTGTTTTGTGTTTTGAGTATAATCGGTAAACATTCTCAATTCCAGTCCTCGTTACAGCCTCTTGATCCAATTACCGGAGCTTCAGTTTGGAATAAGACTGATGCTGGCTGTACTGCAGTGTTCTATACTACCGCCAGTCAACAAGTCGTGGTAATGTGTCGTAAACTGTCACTGGCGGAGTCTGACCAATCAGAATCATCCAGGAGGGCCCAGGCCGAGTGTGTGGGTGTTGGTATGATTGATATCAGTTCATTGAGCCACCAAACACTGAGCAGTGACCGAGGGAGCATTGAGGACTGGAGTGAGTTGAAGGCTCAGTTTAATGAAGTGAGACTGGATCTTGAACCTCATGGATCAGTACTGCTTAACGTATCCTACACTTGTTAGTTATTATTGTTTATTGTTGTTGTTTATTGTTGTTTATTATTGTTGTTAGGTTTAGAGCCACAGTCCAGTGTCCAGTGTACCGGTAGCATTACTGTGGTGGGACTGAATGGAGTTGATTGTTATAAAGAAGGAGAGCCTTGTTCAACCTGCTGCACTGTTGACATTGACTCTGAAAACTATGTAAGAAATGCATTTATTGAATATGTAGCTAGTCAATAGTCATTAGTATAGCATTATCAATCAGTGAGTATAGTATCAGAGATTGACTGCTTTCATCTGATACTGACTGCCTCTTGATGTAGTAGTTGATAGTCACTGGCTGTTTATACAATGATAATAGTCAAGATAGAGTATACTAAACCATTCTAATTAATAATAATTTATATTACTTTTAAACTGCATCATTATTACTTTTAAACTGCATACATTTAGGGTACCACTTCAAGTAAGTTAGGTGTTCCTGATCAGTTGTCAACAGGATGGGCCACTGAACCTATCCCTTTTGACTCCAACCAGAACACACTATGTAGGATCCAGCTATGGGGAATCACGTGAGTTTAATAATAACATTGAAAGTATTTTGTTCCTAAAATAAACAAGCCAGAATTTACTATAGTTAGTGATTTTTTCCAAAAAATGGCTCCAAAATCAATCGCAATTTTTATTATATTTTCCGATACAAATTGACGTCCTTATGCTGTGTAGAAAGTTTGAAACGATTCCGACTTCAATTTTTCAAGTTACGGCCATTTTAAGAAAACATCAAAATTCTGAAAAATACCCAAGGCTATAGTCCATGGTTTTTTCCAAAAAATGGCCAAAAAATCACTCCTAATTTTTATTACATTTCCTAATGCATATTGATGTCCTTATGTTGTGTAGAAAGTTTGAATCGATTCTGACATCAATTTTTCAAGTTACGGCCATTTTAAGAAAACGTCAAAATTCTGAAAAATACCCAAGGCTATAGTCCATGGTTTTTTTGAAAAAATAGCTAAAAAATGACCCCAAATTTTTATTACATTTTCTGATACATATTGACGTCTTTATGCTATGTAGAAAGTTTGAGGTGATTCCGACTTCAATTTTTCAAGTTACGGCCATTTTTAAGAAAATGCCATATAATTCTTCAATATACCCTGTACTGTTATAGTCCCTGGTTTATTGTTCCTTTGGTGCAGGTCCCAGGAAAGTGAGTACTGGTTTGGTGAAGTGTATACTCCACTCTCATTGGTCCTCCCATACTCTGATCAGATTGTGCATCAGGAGGAGGAGAACGGACCACTGAAACTGTTGGACACTTTTGAAAGGAAAATTGTAATGCCAATAGAACCAAAGGTAATATAAGGCAGAGATCAGGAACTTATTATTATTATTATTATTATTATTATTATTTTTAGGGACAGATTACTATTCAGTTCAACATGTCTCCAGCAGTAGATGATGATAATAATATTAATGAGACTATCAGTAAGTGTGTTGCCATGGTTACATGTACATGTACACGCCCTCTCGTTAACAGAGGTGTTAAGTGTATTGGAGGGGAGTGGCCTGTTCAAACCAGAGGCACTAGCGATGCTCAAGAACGAAGCAAAGGAACTGACAACTGATAGTAAGATTAATAACTATTGATAACTATTGATAACTATTGATAACTATTAATTAACCAGATAAGATGAGTACTATTACTGAAGAGGATTCCAGTGGTGAAGTAGCTCCGCCCACATCGTCTTTCCAAGGAGCAGTAGCTCAATCCGGTACTTACGATCACCTCTCTCCGTCTCTCCCTCCTACCTCTCCTACTCACTCTCTGCTCTCTCAGCACTCGATAAAACGATCGTCAAGAATGACCCTCAGACTACTGGGGAGTTTGAAACTACAGGTTCCTAAATCTTATGACGAGCGACGGCATAAAATAGATATTAATACAGACCCAGTGAGAGAGGTAATTTATTATTATTATTATTATTATTATTATTATTATTATTATTATTATTATTATTATTGTTATTATTATTATTGTTGTTGTTGTTGTTGTTGTTGTTTAGATGGAGATTATGAAAGTTGAGTTGAAGGATGTCAAGGCTAGACTAGCGACCAGTGAATATCAAAAGGAGAAAGCCGAAATGAAAATAAAGTAAACCATACAACTAACAGCAAGTGTATCAGGAAATATTATACATGTATTTGCTTTGGGCCGAATTTTTGAAGTAGCTTAAAAAATTTGTAAAAAATCCAAATTTGATCGGAATCTGTTCAAACTTGCTACACAACATAAGAACATGTATATGTAACAGATTGAGATATCTCTCACATTCCATTAGGTCACTAGAGGAGGAAGTGTTTGAGTTAAGAAAACAATTGAAGAAAAAAGCTAAAAAATGATAATTAAATTTTATTATTAATTTTAATTAACAATTTGCTGGTATTTTTATTATTTTTCTAAATTTTGTATCAATTTTTTCTAATTTTTGAACGATACTTTTACTGATAATCAGTTACATTGTGAACACTCGATAGCCTACGATTTCATCAGTCGTATATACAGTTTGATTAAATGGAGGATACGGATCTAAAAAATAATAAATATAATAAATAAATAATAGACTAACCATTCACAAGCCATGAGTCACTGACTGGTTCAGTGTATCCAACCATTAGTACAAAATGCTTTCCATGTTTCACCTAAAAATTATTATTAATAAAACCAGTATTAATAAACTTACATTAGCTATAGTCACTGTTCCATTATTCAAATTATCAACAATATCACTCCACATCAATTCTATAATAATAATAATTATTATTATTATTATTTATTTATTTCATGAATGATTTCTTACCTTTTTGTTTTCCAATATATTTTATTTTATTTGATAGTTTGTCGAGTGCTGGTTCATAGAGGTCACTCTCATTATCATAGCCCCCATTAGTCCTCAGCCACTGGTTGAGGATACCAGGGGTTGCCTCCTTGTTGTTTATTGTTATGTTGTAATATCGGATCGCCATGGAAACACTAGTCATCAGACAACCAACTTTACAGACAGTCTTGTCAGCCATCACTGAAAGATATAAAGAATATACCACCCAGTATTACAAGAAGAACTGATCACAAGATTGTAGAGATATGCACTTACTATCATTAGCCCAGGCTGGATCACACTGATCAACTATAAAGAAGAGTTGTTAGCCTGTACTGTAGCTATAGTATGATTTTGCTTACATTTTGGATAAGCTAGTGGCACTTTAAAATTGACTTGATTTACTGGATCCAACCCAACCACAACTTGAGTTAGGAACAAGAAGAAGAAACAAAGACATAGTCCAGTATCAAGAGTAGCCATTATCCACTGATCCACTGATGAATACACACTCAGGATAATCTGCTGACAGTGACACTATATACCAGCCACAACCCACAAACAATAAACAGACCAACCTATACATGAACATAATGTAGTACATGTACATAATGTGAATAAGGACATCAGTGCATATACAGTGACACTTGTGAGTGGGTTTATGATCTTCAGAAGTGAAACAAAAACATTGAAAGTCATCATAATGATAATGATACACTAATTAAGGAATAATAGATTGTTGTACTGTCCGCTTTACTCTAGCAATGTGTCAATGATGTCATTGAGGTTGTTAGTGAAAGCTTCAAATGAAAACCTCTCCACTACATGACGTCTTGCTTTAGAGCCTTGAGACTTTAAGACCTGACCATCACGAATATACACTCTCATCTTATCAGAGAATCCCTCCACTGTGGGGTCCACTAAGAACCCAGTCTCCCCATCAAGAACAGTCTCTAAAGGTCCTCCAGTGTTAACGGCTATCACTGGACGGTGCATGTACATTGCTTCAAGAGGGCAGATCCCAAAGTGTTCGTTAGTGGGCGTGTACAATAAAGCACTGCACTGAATCAGGAGCTGTATCTTCTCAATGTCACTGAATGACCGAATGAAAGTCACCTTCTCACTTATCTCAAGATCATTTGCCAGCTGCTTCAACTCAGAGTAGTATTCTTTATTTTCAACGACTCTCTCATCATAACCTCCAGCCATTACAAGATGAACTCTCTCCTTCTCCTCATCCTCAAGTCCATCCATTAGGCTCTTAAAAGACATCAGAGCCAGAGAAAGGTTCTTCTTTCTCTCGTAACGATTGATAGATAAGAACAAGACCTGGTCTGGAACTGATGGAAGAACAGAGAGGGATGGTTCTAGGGAGACGTCACGATCAAAAGAAGAGAAATTAATTGAAGGATAGAGAACAGCTGGAACTATGTGAGACAGAGAACTGAAGGTATCTTGAAAGACCGACCGAGTGAAAAGACTATTAACAACTATCCTATGAGCCAGACCTGTCGTCTTCTCCTCAAGTTTATCAATCGGCCAGCGATACAGTCGCTTCAATAACGTTTCACGTTTCGTTAGGAGCTGATCAGGAAAATGACAGTAAAAGAGTATCTTTGAGCGCGTGAACAATCGAAATATCAAGTTAGGGGCTGATACTTGATCAGTTATGATGACATCAAACCGCCCACAGGTCAATATCATGTACAATGAGACGTACAGGACTCTTATATAAGCGAACAATGCATATCCTCTATAGAGACAGTGTCTGGGCAGCCAATCCCCCACGGCCTGTACTACCAGTGTACCGTCTTTAGTCTCACTGAAGCAGTGGCCCGGGTCATGGTGAGAGGTGTATATCTCCACCTGGTGCCCGCGGGACTGGAGGGAGAGAGCAGCGTCCACTATTAGCCTCTCTGCTCCTCCTATCCCTAGGTCAGGATGAACAAAACCAATCCGGACCATCTCTTTGTCAGTCAGTGCGAGAAACTTTGTAGGTGTGGCTTGTAATGTAAGAACACACCTACTTGCGTGGGTGGGTAGCTCAGGGACAGGGTGTTACGTTAAATCTAATTATTGCGTGGGTGTTAGCTGTCGTGGCGCAATTACCATTGGGCTAAAGTAAACTATAAAGGACGGAATTAAGAAACAGGTACATTATTATTATTTATTTCATTTATTTATTTTATTTGTTGTAGGTTGTATTTCTTTCTGTGCAGAGTATCCTCAATGTCAGGAAAGAGAAAGAGGGGTGACGTGGGCGGGGCTAATAAAAAACCAAGAACTAATTTAAAATTCAAACTGAGCTGGAGGGAGGAGGGAGAGCTAAAACCAGGAGTACCCAGTCTAGTGTACCTTGACGGGTCTGATGCCACACCCTCTAAGAGTGTCGCTGGGTTTGATATCGACTGGACTATCATTCGGACTAAAAGTGGACGAAAGTTTCCAACAGGACCGAGCGACTGGACCTTCTTTGATCCGAAAGTTTCCGTCAAGCTAAAGGAACTTTACGAAGAAGGAAAGAAAGTTGTGTTTTTTACAAATCAAGGAGGAATTGAGAAAGGTAACTCATCAATTTTATCAAAGCAATCATTATTATTTTATTACCCAACCATTGTTATTTTACGGGCAATCATTCATATTTTTGTAGGTAACACTACAATTAAAGAGTTGCAAGATAAATATGAAGACATCATTAACAGTCTGGACATACCAGTTCAAATATTTATATCAACCGGTAATGATCACTACAGGAAACCAGGACCTCTTATGTGGGAGTATATGGAGAAGAATTGTAATGGAGGGACCAGTATTGATCAATCATCCTCACTGTATGTTGGAGATGCAGCTGGAAGGAAGAAGGACTGGATCAAAGGGAAGCCAAAGGATTTCTCTTGCTCTGATCGGATGTTTGCCGCTAATGTGGGTGTGCCTTTTTATACTCCCGAGACCTTCTTTCAAGGACTCAAGGAAGCTGGTTTTGAGTGGGGGAGCTTGAATGTCACAGAGTTTTTAAAAACAACCCAAGGAAAAATCCAACCTGAAAAACTACACAGGGATGTAAGTACAGAAATTATAGTATATTGCAGTATATTTTGGTATATTTTAGTGTATTTTAGTATATTTCAGTATACTTTATTGTTATAGGAACAAGAGGTTGTACTCTTGGTTGGTCGACCTGCTTCTGGTAAAACCACAGTTGCTAAGCGTTACTTTACTCCTCGTGGATACACACAGGTCAATCGGGATACTCTGGGGACTAAAGAGAAATGTTTGAAAGTAGCAGCGGAGGGATTGAAGAATAAAAAGAGCATAGTGGTTGACAACACTAACCCAAAGAGGGAAGACAGAAAGGCTTACATTGACCTAGCAAAGAAGAGCAGTGTCCCTGTACGATGTATTCGCTTGAAAGTATCACCAGAACTCTCATACCACCTCAACATGTACCGGCAGAATAAGAGCAAAGGTGTAGAGAGACGTGTACCAATGGTAGCCTATAGGACCTTTGATAAGTACTTTGAAGAACCGAAAGTCTCTGAGGGTTTTTCAGAAGTGATTGAACTTGATTTTGTTCCGTCATTTGAGTCAGAAGAAGATGAAGGTATGTTCAAGCAATGGACTAACATGTAGTCCTAACTTATCAATGAGTAGAGTAACAGTAACTTATTATTATATTAACTATTCTTTGTAATAGCTACTTTATTGTTATTATTATTATTATTATTATTATTATTATTATTATTATTAACAACTACTCTTGTTATTAATTATTCTAGAAAATATAAAAAACAGCTTATCATCTTGGCCTAAACCTAATATTAATAAATAATAATTATACTAAAAAGTTCAGATAACAATAATAACTTTATGAGTATCAGTGGTGTCCTTACATTTGACTAACGTGAGTACTTGGTTCATCAATCCACCCACTGTGAGTGTGAGGACTGGACCTGTGTCTTGGTCTCCTTAGATTTGGACGTCGAGCATGTGATATTGTCTTCCTCCTCAGGGCCCTTTTCTTCATGTGCTCAGGACGTGGCAACAAGTAGTGACACCCCAGTACTATAAGGAACAGGACCACTAGTATAACTACAGACCCAACCACGCCTGCCCACCAGTACTCTCTGATCCAGTCAAATGCTACAAGGACATCATCACCAGTAAAGAAACCAGTTATCCTAGCTAGTGCTCCACTCTTTTGGACTTGACGACATCTTTCATAGAAATCACAATATCCAGTAAAGTTCTTGCAAGGATACCCCACCCCCACCAGCTTTCCTTCACCACTGGGCAGGAGATCTCTTGCTGTATCATTCTCACTTGCTAGAGTAAAAGTGGACGTACAAGTACCTTCAACTGAACAACAAACATGACATGCTTCTCCATCAGAGAAACACTCACAGTCTGATAATCGCAATGGGACACATATTGAGCCAGTACACTGTCCATTGACACAATAGTTAGCTCCATTGTTGCAGGATATGCTACCATTAGCATTCATTTTGGCTACTGGTGTAGGACACTGGACTGATCCATTGCACATCTGCTGAAAAGCACATTCTGTCTCATCACTGCATACATGATTGGAGTCCACTGGTATTATACTGCAGTTGGAGTAACAGCAACTACTGGATTGAGGTGAACACTCTCTTCCATTCACTACCTTACATGAAGTGGCATTACAGCAAGGATCATTGTCACATATACCATTAGTATGATCAACACCACAGTCGCAGTCCTCTCCTTCCTCCAATAGATAGTTACCACAAGTATCAGTGCTTTCTCTGAAGCAACCATTCCGTCTATCCTGTCCTTTTGATGCTATAATAACCTTCATTGCATCAATACTGCAAGGAGAGAAGTTGTCATTATTTGATTTAGTACCATCATTAGCAAAAGCTGTCATTATGTAAGGATTATCTGACGGGTTACAGGATCCCATGTCATGTTCGGAACCAAAGTTATGCCCAGCTTCATGAGCAAAGGTGAGAGTAGCTGCAGCGTTACTGACCCTCTGGTTGTAATTGACCATTGTCACCACACCTGTGTTCAATGTCTTACCACCATACATGTCCTCACAAATCCCACCATTTCGTGACGGATTAGCAACAAAAGCAAGACCAAGGACTCCACCTTCAAAATCCCGATTGGTGAAAACGTAAGAGAGACAGAAATCACTCCAATCGGCTTTAGAGAACTCGTTAAGGAGGGTTTCGACCCCAAGGTAGCGATTAGCAAAGTTTGAGTTACCAGTAGGAGAGCTTGTATTAATGGTAATCTTTTGAATAGCAAAATTTATATTATCAGGAGTTCCATTTTTATCAAAATCTTCTCCCCTAAAAATATTACTGGTCCCTGCTACATAATTACGTATAAGAGAAGAAGCTTGAGCTACTCTTGTTGACCTGTCTGCATTACTTTTAGTCAGTCCTTCATAAAAGAAGTGGTCAGCTACTACGTTGATCCAGCAACTGACTTTATTACTGTCACGATTATTCTGTCTCTTTTGTCTGCTCCCTCCTGCATGAGGAGTAGAATAGGTTTGTAGTCTTGCTAGAAACCTTCTCTTTCTCTCATCACTTGCCCCACAGGTACCTCTACCATGGTGGCCCTGTCCTCCACTCAAGTTAACATCTGAATGCTTGTATGCAATGGAGTGGTGTCCCTCATCATTGCTGCTGTTAATATACCTCTCTGCTGGCTCTATGTGGTATATTTCATCTTTTGTGTGTATTGCACCATCAAACAGTCCAAAAGCAAGATTACCATGGACAGTAGTCTCCTCTGGATCATTAGCATCATATCCAACATAGGAATATGAAAGGAGCTCGCTCCTCGACTGCAAGGAACCATCAACAACTAACTGGAAGTCTTTGTGAAGGTAACGAGAGTCTTCTGGGTGCAGTCTAAGATCGAAATCCCGTCCATGAGAGGAGAATGCGAGTTTGATGTGTTGTCCAGGTCCGCCCACATTACCTCTCCTTAGCTTGTAATGCTGTCTCAGTAGGTCTCTGGAGTCATACTTAACCGTATCATAATGGCTCACGTGATGATCCAGTCTTTTAGCTTCATATGTTGAGAAGAGAATAAAGAGAAACAGACAGAAACTGCTAGTGGCCCCCTTCTTCATATTGAGGATAACTAGCTACAGTAAACAAAGGGTGTGGCTCCTTCACTGCAAAGGTGAGTATGACGTCACAGCAAGTAAAGGGGTGGGGCTCAATGAACTAATGATTCAAAATAATATTTTAAAACCCATTTTAACCCAATAACATTCAAAATCATAGTTATATCATCCACAGATGTGCATGTATTCAAACATGTGGCTCAATTAGCTGATCCTAGATATGATCATTGACATCCAGGTCAGGCAATGGAGGGTACCTTATCACGGCCTGATAGTAAGATGGTGAACCACTGGACATTACAGTGGTGTAGGAGGTAGCTGTGTTTAGGACAGGAGGAGTGGATAATACTATAAATAAAGTATCAGCTGTTATATTATTCCTCCCGATACTATTAAGAGCCTTAATAGCAGGGTCTCTTCTATTGTCAGTAGCAGGTGGTGGTTTCCAGTGCTCGTAATTAGTCTCCACCAGGTACCAGGTTTCATTCAAGTGCCATACATCAATAGCTTTAGAACGATCACGAGTTATGACCACACCTTCAGCTTTGGGTCCTCCTATAATGAGGAAACAAGGAGCAATGAGTCGAGTACTAGTCAGTTTAGATACAGCGTCATTATAATGCATATTAGCATCGGCTAGAGTTTCTCTTAAAACCACACCCACCATCCCATGAAAACCGGTTTTTAAAGCGTCGTAGAAATTAGACCATATCTCCCCAGTGTTCCGTTGATCAAGACTGATGCTCATTCCACCCGGTCTCATTCCAGTGAACACGCCCACCATCCCTGCAAATGTCGTCGCCATGAAAACTGTTTGGCCTTTGCTCTGAAACTCAACATTGATTGTAAAGTTACGAATAAGGTCTTTAAATGTGTAGTCAAGGTTTCTCCCGTGGAAAAGTGTCCCGTTATTATCAACAGCTAGTATACTGGTACAGGCTCCTCTCTTGGCCTTGCCCCCATGATAAAAGGCAGTGAAGTCATAAGCTAGATTACCCATGAGTGTCTCCCCTACTGTTGAGTTAGTGTATTTAGCTATTCCCCTAATCTCATCAGCGTATGGTTGAGGAATGAACTGGTCCAGTACACCAGTGACACTAGTAATGGCCACTACTATTGGTTTGGGTATGATCTGATACAACTCCTCTATCAGTAGCGGGTACAGGGCAGCATAGTCCTTCACTATATGAGCCCACCTCTCCTGAGGAGGGAGATCAAGGTTGAGGGTGTACTGGGGGACTGGTACATCAACAGGCCGGACCACTTGAAGGAATGAGGAGAGAGACAAGGAGAGAAATATGAGGGACGAAAGGATAGCCATTTCGAAAATATTATGTAACTATTGGTAAGTGATAAGCGGTGATAAGTGTGGCATAACTGGCTTTAATTGCTTGCATGATTGCATGCATATCAGTATAGCCACACCCACTGGTAAAAAAAGAGGTGGGCGTAGCTGAAGCTGCAAGAGAGCTGGACTTTGCTTTCAAATACAGTCCTCATCATGGTAGAGGGAGGACTCAATCCTCTCACTATAGGAATCCTTACTGCGGTCATAGTGTTCCTTCTACCTAGTTTGCTGTCTTTAGCTCCATTCGCTATTGTCTTCATGCTCCTGGTCTGTTGCTGTGGCATGAAGACCAACAAATGACACAAGACTATAAACCATTGACGTAGGCAAGTAATATCAGCATGCACTTTTAAACAATGTTCTTTTTAAAATATTATATTTATTATTTAAAAAATTAAAAATTGCAAGACAATAAAAATTAGAACCACACTGTAGCTATAAAATAATGATAATAATTCAACATTTTTTCAAAGATTAGTCTTAGCTTTGCTCCTCACCACAGTGCTGTAGATATCAGGAAGAGCAGGACTCATAATGGTAGTATAGACTGTATCACTGTTAAGAACTGGATCAGTTGATAAAACTTTAAATAAAGAGGTAGCATTAATACCAGCTTGACCCACTGTGTTCATACTCTTGATACCAGGATCACGTCTATTGTCGCTTTTGGGCGGAGCCTCCCAATGATCATAGTTTGTCTCAAGAACGTACCAGGCTCCAGCATCAATATTGATATAAGAATGATCAATGGCTGATTCTCTCTCTCTCGTTATCACTACACCATCACTAGCCCCAGTGCCTGCTATTATGATGTAAGATGGGGTTATCAGTGGTGTGCTGGATATCTTCTCAACGGCCATTTTAAAATTAATATCATTTTGTTCAAGAACGTCTCGAATCAATAAACTAACGAGACCATGTCCTCCATCTTTAATAGCGGACGCTGCATTCTCCCACAAGTGTCCCTTGTCTCGTTCATTGAGTGATATGCTGACTCCATTGGTCCTGCAACCTGTTAGAAGACCAATGAAACCAGCAAATGTTGTTCCTGTTATGTAGTTGGAGTTAGCGCCTTTTTTAAACTGGACTATAATGGTCATGTTGGTGAATAACGAATGGAACAAGGAATAATCTAAATTCCGTCCATGATAAATCCTTCCCTTAGAATCGCTAGCCACAATACTAGTACAGGCTCCTCTTTGCCCTTTCCTGTCTTCAAATATTTTATGAAATGCTGTCATGTCATAGATCACATTCCCTAGTACCAGCTCTCCTAGGGTAGCGTTACCTCCAGTAGCTGCGGCCATTCCTTTTAGCTCATCAGCATAAGGATACGGGAAATACTTATCCAAATGTTTGGTGACTTCTGTGACAGCATTAACCAGAACCTTGGGAACGTATCTTTCTATTTCTTGACGGAGGACGGGGAAATAGTGAGAGTAATCTTTAGCTACTTGAGTCCATCTTTGTTGAGGAGGTAGGTCAAGATCAATGGTGTATCTTGGGGGAGTATAGTCTCCTCTAGAGTAGGAGACAAGGAGGGCTAGCAGAAGAGAAGAGATAGGAGAGGACAACTTCATCTTTACCTGTCAGCTACTTTAGCAACCAGGGAGCCCCTCCCACAGCTGACGGAATGCAATTAAAAAATCATTAACAATAAATAATACAATAAAACTGCCCAGTGTGTGTGAGTGTGTTAATATAAAACTATTTATCCCTTTTCTTATTTCTCTTCTTCTTATGCTTTCTCTTGTGTCTCTTAAACTCTCTTTCACTCTCGCTCCCCCCACTGCTGGTACTAGCAGAGACTCTCGTCCGTTTTGATTGTTCACGAGTAGAGGGTCTCTTCCTCTTGGTCTCTCTCTCTCTCTTTCTCTTCCCTCCTCTCTCCTCATCAGTTGAAATGAATTCCTCTGGATAGAGTTCCTTATAGCCACTGTGACCCCAACTACACATAAAGAGAAAAGGATGAATATACTGCATTAATGATTTATACTGTATTAATGATTGTGTATGGACTAATCTTACAAGCATTAGGTTAAATATTCAATTCAAACTGGACGACTACGTGATGTCATTAACTTAATCATTAAATTCACTACAATCATAGTACACTCACACAATTAAAACTATTACAGTATTGTACATGTACATACTTATATAGGTATATTGCATTATTATTATTATTAATCTCAATTATTAATAATCTCACCGGTCAGGATCATTCTCTTCCACTTTCATTAGTTGCCTAGTCCAGTAAGTTGATGAGGTTTCTTCTTCATCAGTGTCATCAGGTCTCTCTCTTAGTGAGTCACTCAATAGTCTACCTCTACAATGAAATAACATAATCAGTTACTGCTCAGTTTGTGTGTAACAGAACCAGTGGCCATTTTAAGAAAATGCCAAAATTCTGAAAAATACTCTGTACTATATAGCCCATGGTTTTTTCCAAAAAATGGCTCCAAAATCACCCCAAAATTTTATTACATTTTCTGATACATATTGATGTCCTTATGCTGTGTAGCAAGTTTGAGTCGATTCCGACTTCAATTTTTCAAGTTATGGCCATTTTTAAAAAATGCCAAAATTCTGAAAAATACCCAAGGCTATAGTCCATGATTTTTTTCCAAAAAATGGCTCCAAAATCACCCCAAAATTTTATTACATTTTCTGATACATATTGACGCCCTTATGCTGTGTAGAAAGTCTGAGTTGATTCCGACTTCAATTTTTCAAGTTACAGCCATTTTAAGAAAACGCCAAAAATCTGAAAAATACCCAAGGCTATAGTCCATGATTTTTTTCCAAAAAATGGCTTTAAAATGACCCCCAATTTTTATTACATTTTCTGATACATATTGACGCCCTTATGCTGTGTAGAAAGTCTGAGTTGATTCCGACTTCAATTTTTCAAGTTACAGCCATTTTAAGAAAACGCCAAAAATCTGAAAAATACCCAAGGCTATAGTCCATGATTTTTTTCCAAAAAATGGCTTAAAAATGACCCCCAATTTTTATTACATTTTCTGATACATATTGACGCCCTTATGCTGTGTAGAAAGTCTGAGTTGATTCCGACTTCAATTTTTCAAGTTACAGCCATTTTAAGAAAAAATTTTTAAAAAATACTCAATACATTCTGTTGTAACAATACCTTGTTAGGATATGCCTCGGCTTGGAATGATATGATTGTAATTGTGTTTGCTGCTCCAACTGACGCAGTCTCCACATTTCTCTCTCTTCCTGTACCTAAACACAAACAAGATGGACACTACAATCACCAGCTACATCCTTTTACAAGCTTCAATACACAATGATGGTATGACAAAAATGCATTTAAAACAAGAAATAAAAACAATCAATTAATGGATAAAATAAACATTAGAACATGTTGGTACTGGCTCACTCTGTTGTGAGTGTCAGCATGACGTATATAGTTCCTGAGGACGCTTTTCTTGACTGTACCTTTAACAGGAAGGGAATAAGCAGCCATTTTGAATTAGGCCCCGCCCAGTAGTTATTGATAGGCGTGGCTTCACATTTCTTCTAATTCTCAAAATGGCTGCTTCGTCATCTTTTTTGTTTCTCTCCATTTTTCTTTCTTATTCATTACTAATTGATGGTACTGACCCTCCTAACAGTTAGTATTATTATTATCATCAATAGGTCAGTCTCCTGGTGACCTCAGACTAATCAGAAACGGTGTCTCAAGACTCAGTTATTCATATGGTAGACTCCAGGTAGAGACTACTGGAGGGAGGAGGGGCTGGTTCTATTGTTGTGTCTCCTTTAGATTTATGCCTCCACTGGTTGGGGTGAGGTCTGTGGAGATAATTTCAATATAACAGAGAGGAACGTGGCCTGTCACCAGCTGGGGTACTCCTCATCATTGAACAATGACACCATCAACAGGTGGTTATAAATCATTAATAATAATAATAATAATAATAATAATAATAATAATAATAATAATAATAATAATAATAATAATAATAATGATTTATTGTTTCTTCAGTTATGGTAGTGATGTTGGTTCTGTTTTTATATCGGAGGTCAATTGCTATGACAACAGTGAGTACCTCCATTTGTTGAGGTGTTTTTACAGGAAAGGTTTTGACACCTGCCAACAGAACTTTGTCACTTTATACTGCAGTGAGTTAATTAATAATAGTTAATTAATTAATATTTGTTTTATTTCAGACAGCACTAATAATCCTCCTTATGACGGTCAGTTGAGATTATTGTATGGGACCACTTCTTCAAATGTAATGCACACACAGGGGGTCTGATAAAATTGATGAGTGTTCTGGTATTATTCCTCACACAGGGTCTGGTACAGGTCTATTGTAGTGGCCAGTGGGGGACAGTCTGTGGTAGGTACTTCACTCCTGATGCTGCCCACCTGGTCTGTAGACAGCTGGGATACACCTCGGCTAAGTCTTATAGTAACGGAACCTTGTAAGTGTTTAATTAATTATTTGTATATATATATATATATATATATATTTATTTATTTATTTATTTATTTTATATTAGTCAGGGTAGTACCAGACCCCAATAT